ATGGACGGGCGGACGGACAAGGCACAGGCAGTATTTTTCACAGTGAAAACGTACTCGCTGCATTACAAACTGCGACAGCGTCCATCACAAGGTGCCCCGCCCTCCTGCGTGCACATGTGTGTGTGCGTGCACGCTTGTGCATGGCATTTGCACTTGACCCGGGGCGTCCCACCCCCACCCTCCCCCTCCATTCCGCCACACACCACCGCATCTATCAGGCCTCACCCACAATGTGCACAGGGGCATGCGTGGTTGCGTGAAGGTGCGTGCGTACAGGTGGCACCAGGCTAATCGATTGGTTAGCGTGTAATTAGGTGAATGTGCATGCTCGCATGCACGACCGCACTTGAAGCATATGACAGGCGGAAGCGCATCTTTTTAATAAGTCCTCTCACGGATGCACGCACACGCAGTTAATCGAGGAACAGGTGCCTATGTGCATGCGACCGACGCATGACGGTTTTATGGTGGTGGTCACCTTTGGGGTAGCCAAAATGTCCTCTATACGCACAGTGAGAGATGAAGTGTCTATATGTGCGGTTAATGTCACACATTGGCGTTACTAGGCTCGGGTCTACGTGGCTTTTAAGATAGACGCGACTTGTCACAAGTTGACGTATGCTCGTGCTTAGTAAGTGGGAAGCCTCCCCTCCTGTCTACCGCTTCAGTTTGGGGGATGCACAACGTGCGCTAGCCTACCTCAAAACCCGCTTGCCATGTTTCTCTCCAAATTTACAAATGAAGATGAGTTCTAACAGAAAAGCTTCAAAAGAAATCATTGTCTTCTTTACCTAATTCCGCTTTAAAGTGTTTTCTAACAAATGTAAAAATATTTTAATCGAATTGGAGAAAAATATAGGCCGATAACAAACCATAAGATGCCTTCAATTTTCCAATCTTCCCCTGATATCACTCCGCGCAACCTCTAAAGGCGTGATCTCGATACTTCGATACAATTTTTCTGCTGCGAGGTCGTCGATGATCCATGAGTCCAATACGTCCAAAGCCGAAAGGAACAAACTCAAGATGTGTGAATACACTCAAAGTGGTGTATTTTTACCCTCCCGCCATCCAATTGGTCACTGTGAGTTGTCGGCCTTCGCCAATCACATTGCAAGTGCAGTAGCAGGGCTACCCTATCGGAAGTGTGAGTTTGCCAGCCGTAGCAACCCAGTGTGTAAACAAAGGCATCAGTAACTGACTCACTCTACTGACATTATTTAAATGCAAACAAACAATGAAATCAATTATAGCCAGATTTTAGGGGGTCATGTTTATGATGAGTTATCTGCCCTATATTAAGCCGAAAAGTCTCACACGTGTGAACTGACAATAAATGTAACAGCTAAAACATTAAATTAAGGCTGACCAATTCACAAGTAGGTGGCATAATTGTGCATCTTCAATTTTCTATTCGAAGTACACGGCACATCACCCACGTGAATTTAAGGTTCAAGGGCATTAGAGTTGGCCAGAGAGTGCCATCTCAATGCAATATAACGAACTTGTCGTATGGCTGCACTTCCGTGCAAATCCCATCCGGACAGAGTCGTTACAAGAATAGGCGAAAAAATGTTTTTTTCAGACAGGATTTTTTTAACCCACGAAGCAGACCAATGGAAAGAGCACATGTGACAGAGAAAATGATGTTAATAACTGTGTTTACCAAAGAAAACTTGAACATTCATTTAAATTGTTAGCAAAAGATTTTCAGGGAAACTTCAAGCAATGCACGCGTCTTATTGCTCTAATTCCCCAAAATATGAGATTACTTTATTTAACCACTTTTATCTGCAAAGTGTTTCTTCTACTTAAATCAACTGTTCGCTACGAGACTTGGCACAACCAATTATCATGGAACGACAACATACACATCACACAGTCGTGACACCCGGACGCAGGCAATGGCACCGGAGCGTCCCATTTGTAAAACCTGGTAAAGGGATGTGCTAGATATTTTGAAGTTTTCTCAAGAATAAGTTGTGCCGGTTTTGATAGGCTATTGTAGGGTGACAAAGTTACCATTGATAAGCATAGTGTTTTTAATCAGCGTTAAAGTCTAATGCCGACTATAATTTACTGATCGCGCTGTGATACCACATAAATCACCTAAGAATAGTACCCCATCTCATTCTCTTCTCTTCATTTATGACCGGATGTTGCCCCTCACTAGGGGAGGGGGGGTACGAGACCCCACTGCTTCCGGTACGATACAAGCCCTCGCAACCAGAACTCAGAGTCTAGTTGTGAGGCTATCACTGAGCAGGGCAGTAGGGAAGTGCACGGAATGAGCTGCCATAACAACCATCTGAGCTATCCAAATATCCGGTGTGAGTCTAAGGCTCCAGCTTTGAGCCAGGTATTACGGCCACAGCAGTGATCGTAAAGGTGAGTCAACCATCGCCTTCCCAACCTTTCATTCTCCCAACATAACTTAGATTTTTCTTGTTCTTTTTTGTTTTTCTAATTTTGAAAATGCGTGAGGTCAGTTAAAACCATTGGGTCATGTATGTAGTGCTGGTAGTGAATGTTTCAGGTAATGAACACAATGAAGTTATCTAATTTTACATTGGCGTACTTGGCCTCAAATACCATATTCCATAGAAACGAAACTTTAAATGGTCCAGTCCGGTTGAAAACATTTTGTTCTCCCAAACAGTTGTATGCAAAATAAAATTCTGAAAGATAGAATCAGGTGAAAAAAAGCGCTTTTTTCGAAGACCTTCAATGTGTTTCTTATTTGTTATGCTAATTCTCATGGGAACGATAAAAACTGGATGTTTGCGGGAAGGCAAAGCGTTCTGAAGAAACTTTTTAAACCCATTCACTGTAAAAGTTTAGGCATTCGGAGTGGCTTTTTATGTAATAGGACTACGGCGCCAAATTTAAAAAAGACCTCGGTGAAACAACAGGGTCTAGCAAATGGGTAGTAAATGTCTGTTATCATGATTTGAATTGTAACTCACCAACAGTGTTTACTTGCACAGCTAGTCACGTGTCCATGGAATGGCTGGCAGGCTTAGCCCTGAGCGACTGTGTTGGACTCATCCATATATCTTCCATTCCTCAAAACCAGATTGCTAGGCACAGAGTAGTGGAAGATATTTAAAGGAAATGGTGGCCAATGAGAAGCAAGAAATCAACTCAATTCTTGCTCTACTAGACTTGGCATGCCAATAGACTGCGTCAGGAATGCGCGTGTGTGTGCGATTGGTTGGCTTGAGTCGCTGCACTCATGCAATCTCTACGTTCTGCAGGTGCACGCAAAAATCGACCACTTAATAGCAGTATTTTGCTGGCTATAGTTGATTACCCAATTAAATATTACTTGATAGCTATTCCTTCTTTTGATCACTTACAAGTAGTACCTCCCAACTCGTTGCATACATAATTAAAGAATGTTTAACTAAAAGAAATAGAAACACTTTTCATAACTTTCAGCAATAAATGGTATAAAAACATGGTTATGCTCTAGATTTAGTAAAACTGCATTTAAAGGAAATGACTGCATAGTTATGTGGATCCTCGATTAATTATTTTTTAAAACCGATTAGCAAAGATCCCACCTTTAAGAATAAGATTTATTCTTTTTTGTCATAGGCGTGTAACTTCCGGTAGAGATGTATGCGCTTATAATGATAGTATTGAAAGTCAGGTCAATGAAGGGGCTATTGTAATAATTAAACAGAATCGGACAAGTTAGAAGGAGGGCCCTTTCATTCCATTTTATCTCCATAACGTCAAAATTATTCCATTCATAGAAATAAAGTCCCCACTTTAGCAAAGTTTAATTTCACCATCTTCTAAATGACCGAATGTTTGCTATCAAGATGTTACTGAAAGTGTATTACTCGACTTGTCAGCATGGATCTGGAGTTAAAATAATGTCTAGCTGATTTAGCATTATGAATGGTTCATTTTCTTGTCACGAAACCACTCCTCTTTAATTGATTGTGCAAAAAAGTATTCGTTTCCTGAAGAAACTCAGAGATACCCAACTGTTATCTCCTTTGTGAAAAACGTTACAATTATTGTTGTCTAAATACATCAGACTCAATAATTTGGGTCTACCCGTTTCCATTTGAAGAAGTTGCCAATCTTAATTGAACAAATAACGCAGCGAGTTGGTCTCATAGTAAGATTAAGAAACAAATGATTTTCATGGGATTGATGAGGAGCGAGAATAGATTGATCAGAATTGTAAAAATTTGCAAAATGACCGGCACTACCAATGACATGGGTTCCGACCTCTCCGTAAAATAAACCATTCAAGCATCATGTAATAAACACCTCAATTGGGCACGATTATAAACAAACAAATTTGAGGGCCCGTAAGCGACATTTTTACTTCACTCCTGGGGCGTTCGCGCTCTCATTGTGCTTTCAGAAGAGAAATGGGAAACTTACGCGCTCATCTAACCAATCACATGTTAGTCTATGTCCGGCCTAACCAATCGGCGGTCACTCTTTAGTATGCTGACCAATGAGACACGTGCGCGCTAGCAGATGAGCGAAAGCACGCGCTGTCAACGTGTCAGGCACCACCCCTTGCTCTCTCGCACTCGCCTATAGAGGCGCGGATTGAAGATCATTTAGGCAGCGAGTGTTTACACGATTAGTGTGTATGTGTGTATAGTGTAAACTATTCACAGCCGGAATTCGATAACTAATCTCTCTCTATCGGATCTCGCTCGCCATCTCGCCGTGTGCTTGTGTGCGTACATTCTCGTTTATATGTATACATTTAACTGCGTGGACACGTGCGTGTGAAAAGAAGAGTTTCCCTACAGCTTACCGCCTACTGGCTACTACTAGATTTGTTTACATATCTGGCCTCCCATCCCAACCTCTTTTGCCTCTCTTGTAAGAGCGCATATTTCCTGCCTGTCTATTTGCGTACCCCTAAATACACACTTCAGTGTGGGTGTGTGTGTTTATCCTAACGTCAAGTCGGTGCGCACACAGCCTCAAAAATCGTTTGTGTAAACAACGGTCGGGAGATGGCAATGGAGGGCAATTACTTACAGTCCCACCCCCACCCCAATCCACATGCTTATTCGGGTCTCGCAGATCACGCCACCGATCTCACTGCCCATGGCGTAACTTCGCACCACTCACACGGTGCATTCCTTCTCCCTCCGGCTCCAGCCCACTACCACCACCATCCCCAGACGCTTGGAGCCAACGACGGTGCTGCTCCTCCAGACACTACCCTCCACTATCATCACTGCCTTTTCTCTGAACCCTCTGTCCCATGGGACACCTCCGCCCAGCAAGCCTTCAATCACCATCAGCAGCAGCAACAACAACCACAGCAACCTCAGAATGAGAGCCAGTCATGTTCTCATGAAGACTTCTTCACGGAAAAACAGCCCGACCCTATGTCAGTCTCGTATTGGAGCGATAAACTTCCCTCTCCTGCTTTTGGCGCCAATTGGGAGCCGGAGGCCTACCCAGGGGCTTATTCTCTGGCACCAAATGACGCACCCTTCTATCCAGAGTTTCAGAGCTCTTCACCCTTTCCACCCTTGCCTGGAGCTCATTCGCTAATTCCGCAACAAAGGATATCGTACTTCCGTGGACCCTCTCCTTCTCAGTATGCATTGGGTAGGTCGGTGCCTGCAGCACCCCAGAGTTACAGTGGAATGGAATCCTCCAGTGATGCTTGCCTTTCCTCTAACAACACTACAGAGAGTTCTGAAGCAGTAAATGGAAGTGGCCATCCACAAGAGGGAGACGTTAAACCCACTCTGCCTCCGATTGAATACTATTCGGACAGGCAGGAGTTCACCGAGCCTCTGAGAGAGTGCAAGGAAGTGGCGGGGAGGGCGGAAGAGGTGGAGAACGAGGAGGTAGAGGGAGAGGAGGAGGATGGTGAGGAGGCGGAGGGGAGTGCGGTGAGTGGAGACAGAGTGATTCAATGTGAAGATGACGCGGCATTAGGACAGGAAGGGGGATCTAAGGAAAGCAACCTGAACTTGATTAATGGAGGGGATCCGAAAGGTTCACACAAGGAATCCAGTTAGTTAAAGATGTATTATTTTATTCATTAGAGGTATTAGGCCCTTATTTTATTTTTCAGCAGGATTTAATCTTGAGTTAACGTCCCACAGAGGGGAATAACAACATGCCTATGCCAAATAAACACGGACCATTATTTGTTCGGTCTATGCATTATTATTTTACAGCCTTAATTTTCTCTTTTAGTTTCTTAAAGTTAATACCAATCTGTTTAGTTTTATATTTAGTATTAGGCTTAAGCGTTATTATAAGAATACTACACTTGATATTCCCATAATTTTTTAACATGAAATTTACACAAAACCTGGATATTTTTACAGAGGCTGAAGTAAATTAATTTTAGGTGATTCATAAATTGCATACAGAATATTTTGCTATCTACGGTGGACATGTCTATACATTATATCAGCCAACATTTACTAAAGCCCTATTCTGCGACTTTAATGCCTCATTTTGTATTCAACAACATTCAAGCTATCCAACTTTGAACCATTTATGCACGTGTTTGCGATTTTTTCGCTATTTTATAATTAATTTTACGAAGTTTTTCTTAAATATATGGATTTGATAATTTCAAGAAGTACTAAAACCCAAAAAAGTTATGGCGACCTGGATTTGAGATGTAGAAGCACGAAATATTGGTGGATTGTCTCAACGCCTTATAAGTAATCTTTGAATTTCTCTCGTAACTTCCACCTCTCTTTTCTGCCCTGTTGGAAGAAAGCACTTTCCGCCCGTAGGTGTTTGAGCTCCTCAGGCCTTTTTGCCTATTTTAATCTCAAAACAACACATCCGCATCATTTGTTGGTCCAGTTTTACCAAGCCAAGGTATGATTGCGCGCTACGTAATGTTTAGGACATCCAACCAGATTTCCTCAACAAAACAATGATGATTAAAGAAGTTCCTTTAGGAGATTGCATGGATTACTTTTTTTCTCTTCACGCTTGTTTGAATGAAATGAAACATTGTATCCAGTAACTTTATTTCGATAGCCAACTTATGTGCATCTCTACCCGCTGTTTTCACTTCTGATCACAAACGAGACTTGAACGCTCTTCAGCTCCACTCAATGCACGTTATTAAAGTTAATGAAACTTCCTGGAGCTAATTTCTACTCCATGTAACTTTTAGGTAGTGGAAGACGTTCAGAAAAGCCGCCATACTCCTACATCGCGTTGATTGCAATGGCGATCCGAGCCTCACCGAATAAGCGCTGCACACTGAGTGAAATCTATCAGTACCTGCATAGCAAGTACCCCTTTTTCCGCGGCAGCTATACGGGCTGGAAGAACTCAGTGCGACACAATCTCTCGCTGAACGAAGTGTTTATCAAATTACCCAAAGGTTGGTCCTCTCCTCATTTACCATTTGGCCAGAGAGGGCGGACAGACAAGAGACTAACGGAAGCATCAACGGGTTGCACACATTCACATTTCAAGCATACACACCCAGAGAGAGAGAGAGAGAGATTTCCGTACAGAATGCACATACGCGCGCACGTATACTATGCCTTCGCATTATGATGTGAACGCATACGTGCGCTCGTTCGGAGGCTCGAGCGGACGAACGGCGGACGCACAATTGTGCAATCGATCGATCGGTGAACGCACGTGTGTGTGACCGCGCGCTGGTGCGATGAATCGGGGGTAACAGTGCGTAAACAAGCCTCAGAGGTAGACACAGTGACGAGAAGAAGAGGAGGAAGTGGAGGCTGAAGAGGAGAGGGGTGGGCGTTGGGCCGGGCGAGATGTCACCGGTCATGTTGGTATGAAGGTGTGATAGAGGCCCGTCTTTAACCGGAAAACACATAAATACTACCGGGGAGTAACTTTTAACAAGAGCCCTCTAGCCTACGACAACGCACTTAGGGCTATCCGGGATTTAATCGCTAATGACTAAGGCCTCACACTTAAGGCATAATCTGCCTAGGCATAAAAGTGCAACTTTCGAATGGCAAAGGAAACATTCAAGTTTCGGAGGCTATTCGAAACTTAAGTAAGGATCCTAAAAACAAGCATGAATAATCCGCTAATAATCCATGAAATGAAGATGCAAAACAACAAACTTTATATGGACTAGCGGTTAAATCGCAATTAGTATTTACAAAAATACGTAAATTTTGAAGGATCAGTTTTAACGGGAGGTCAAATGCATCATCAATTCCGTCTATTATAGAGGTGTATCTATAAAATAATCATTTACTGCTCAATAGCATTCATTGAATAAAATCCGATCACGTTCAAAGCAAAAACTGCGTACGTGAAAGGTGAAACAAGAGCCTGAATATAGAATAGAGGAGAAATTTGCCTTTAACTCCATCGTAAGTTGTGTTGTTGAACAGTAAACTGAAAATTAGACAGCGAATATGAATATTGGTCTTCTGCATATGTGTATTTAACAAATGAATTTAACTGATTTTAGGAATGGGAAGGCCGGGAAAAGGCCACTACTGGACTATAGATCCAACCGCAGAGTTTATGTTCCAAGATGGTGCCTCACGTAGAAGACCTCGAGGCTTTCGTAGGAAGTGTTCCCTCAGTTCAGCAAGCGCTGTTGCAGCTGCTGCCGCTGCGGCAGCAGTGGTGCCGAGTGGGAGTCAGGATGGTCAAGTATCAACCGCTCCCTTCAATCAACTGCCAAACCCCTGCGTCCTCATGGGGTCCGATGTAGCCTTCTCACAGTTTCTTCTCCCTAGTATGCACATCTCCGCCAACTCTTCATCCCGAAATCCTTCCGTGGGAACTCCTCCTAATTCTTCCAATGAAACTGAGTTAAGGTCGACTGAGGATGAGAGAAACGTTGCTGGGGGAGTGTTCTACACACCAAGCAGTGCTGCTGTCCCATCAGGAGGAGCAGGAGGTAGCAACTTTTACAACGCCTCCATGGAACATCAGTACCAAAATGCAGCGGCTTTCGTTCATCAGCACTTTCCAGAGGAAGTGCAACAGCCCCTAAAGGCAGAGTCTCAGTCTCCGCACTGCGAGGGTCCAAACTCACTCTACGGGATTCTCTCATCGGTTAGTACCGCTGCTCCAGTCAACGCTGGAGTTGCGATGTGGTCGGAGAATCCGGACGCTCGGCGATCGTTATACTCCGCCTCTAACGAAGCGAACGCGGAAATACAGCACATGTTTGATAGCAGACAATTTAGTATGCCGTGGAAGGCCTGGGAGCCTAGTTCAGGTGATTGTAAACCTTCTTCACCGCAGTTTCAACCGCCTCATCTGCCCACAAGTGCCGTTGAGTCAGCGGCGGTGGAGTCGGCGGTGGCGTCGCAAAACAGCAGCCCTGCGCCCCTCTTACATCCACATCTGTCACAATCACTTCTCATGCAAGCTTCCCCTGAGTTGAAGAACACTTCCATACCCTGTAATGGTGAGTTTTCGATCCCTCTGCCTCTGTGTGTGCGTGTGCTTGTCCACCAGATTTAATTACCTCTCTTTCTGACAATCATTTATGTGCCTTACATTGTAATTTTACTTCCATATGTGAACTGCTTAAACAGTTCTTTAGCAAATAGTACGCCCGGTTCCGGAGTTTAATGCAAGAGCTTTTGGGATTTACCTAAATGAAAACAGAGAAATCATAAATTCAAAGTATTTATTTTAGTGGTGATACATACATATTCATGCCATCTCCGACCCTTACCATTCTTTAATTTACATCATATTTATATGATATGACTTTTATCACAACAGGTTCTCCTCCTCACAACCTAAGTGTCTGGTTTGTTATAATCCAGACTCACTGCAGTGATGTTAGAATTTAGTTTTGCAAATTACCGCTAGTTCGCACATTCAAGACTTGGTGGATGACTTTTGAGCCTTAGTTAAATCAGAAACGAGCAAAGTGATGGATCAAAAGCAAGGGTGTAAACACGCTATAATCCAATGGTCTGCGATTTTCCCATTCAAAAGTAAACTTCCCACAGAATGCACATGCTCATATTAGGCGTTGAAACGGTTAAATACAGTTATTACCATGGCAACTCACAGCTGCCCATCGCCTGGACCTTTTGATAGATGGTGATTTGCTGTAGCACACCCCTTTTTTGTAACGGTCACTGGTGCTAAATTACAATCTTTCCATTTAATGAACACTTCATTGATTAAAAATAAGCAAACTGGCTGAGGTACAGCTATGAACGGTATGCTGTTGGCTATAATCAATTGTTACTAGGATTTCCAACAAACAATGGCTAGTAAATTAATGGATCTTGACTTCCAATTTAATTTCAAAGATGGGGGCTCCTGAAATGTGTGAACGCTGTAGCCTTCTTGTTTAGACTTGTAAACGTACCGAGTAGGACCTATTTTTTGAAATAAATTACGATTTCATTTTCCCTGTCTTAGACTGTGAACCTCACTACGGAAGCGCTCGATGACATAGTGAGAAGGTGAAGACAAGCTGAGGCCCCAAAATGCCTGTTTTTCTGTTGATTTTACTTTTTCACAAAAACAACCTCATCCACTGTTTGTTGATTTCGAAGGGACCAAAATAATCTCGTGCTTTGTTGACCACAATCGCGTCGATATGATAATCGCTCTCTCGCCCTCCCCTGTTCTCTCAATACCTCACGCATCATTCCAGCAGTGTACATACATGACGACTACTACGACGGCGATCAGCTATACGGTCGTATTGCCACCCGCCCACCCACTCACTCACTCACTTTTAGATCGTTCTCTTCGCCCCCTCGATCATCCCATGCCCCCACTTTTTCTATTCACTCTGATCCAAGTACGTTCGGATAATTCCTTTTTTATATGCATACAATAATTAATCATTCCCATTCATTTTGATCTTCTTTTTTAAACAACGGTCAATATAAGTTGTTTCTAGAGCGTTCGAGGAGTCAAGTGACATAAGGTGAGTGGTTGATGCTACTTAAAATGAAACAGTAGAATGGAAAATCATATCCGACCGCCCAGATCAGCTGCTAGATGACCTAGCCTAGACTATCGGCAATATTTTAACTAATCCGAGCTAACGACAAATTGCATTAATACATACAAGATAAAATATTTAGCCATTCCTAGCTTTACAGACCATCAACAACTCACATTTACTATATCACACTCAGCTTCAGGTCTGCTTCCATACTGTATGCTGCTCAGTTCTAAATTCATTAGATATGCCTGCGAATATTCGTTATTAAATAGTTTCCTAGAAGTTCTGGGTTCGGGGCCAGAAGCCCGAGTAAATTACGTTCCATTTAATTCCCCTAACTCTTTACTTTAAAAGAGGCAAGCTAAATTGTTGCCGAATATGTGGGCTAAATTTGTTGTTGAAAAACTCCAATTGAGGTAGAAAATAGGGATTTTAAAGAGCCACTAAATTTCAAAATTACCCTGAAATGTCTCATAAGGAACTTACACTTAATCAATGAGTTTAGCTAGAAGGTGTCAGCCAGCAAAAGACTGAAGTCTCATATTAAACAATTTTGATCACAAATACTGATATGAATTAGTTAGTGATAAAAATCGAATCAGCACGTGAATTCACAAATTGTCAGGCTACCTTCCTAGCCATGGAAAGTGACGCTTTCTTGGCTAAGCCGGCACGTGGTGGAGGAGGATGACGAGGGATGGAGCTTTTTCTAGGCGTATGTGGATGAGTATTTGCGGAGGTACGGCCAGATTCGAGATCAGGAATTCGTCGACCTGGAAGTGCCGTCACCGGTGACTTTCGACCATTGCCTACTCCGTGTCTGACCTCTTTAGAATGACCCAATTTACCACTGGTCTTTACCACGGGACGCCTAGAGAGCGTGGATTAATCATAGCCAAAGGTCAAACAACCGAAGCAAGTGCAAGAAAAAGAGCTGGATACTTAAATGTCAATTGTTAAGGCGGACGAAAAGTTTATGCTGAGACAGTGGATAGCAAAAGCCTTTGAGAATTAGAAAAATGTGGTGTTAAACAGGATATCTAGAAGCCACACCAGTTATATATAAGATTGTTAATGCAGAACTAAATAGGCGCGTTACAGTATACATTCTCCTACCAAGATAATTAAATTTGAAAATGGGACATCGGCATTCTCCAGATCCTCACATAGATATCTGCAAGAATGGCACCCTTTCCTGTTACTCAGTCTATTCATCTAACTACCTAAAACATCTCCGCGCAAATGCATCCAGATCATGACAGAACAGTTGCTTGACAATTCTATACTCACATTTTGAGTGGATGAAGTCTCCTTAGAGAGGGAATTCTGTTGAAGCTGCTTGCAGCGGTCGTGACCATTGAGGAGGTTAGTAGAGGCCTCTGGACGTTTGCTGTGGGTCTAAGAGTCTGCAAGATGCCACACAAAGGGATTTCTGAGGCACTCGACTGAGTGTCCTCCTTTCCGCAGCGTTGCATTGTTGGGAGTTCCCTCAATTTTTTGTCAACTACATCCTCCTCCCATTCCCCTGAGATGGGCGCCTCAGGATCGCTCTCATTATCGGAAACTGAGTTAAGACTAAGAGAGGTCAGTTCCGTCTGCATTTGATCCCGCATAATTGAGCAAGTCGTCGAGGAGAGTTCACTACCAACACGACCTCGTGGTGTGCAGCGTTCACATCTATGGTTAAAGCGTGAACTCAGAATTCTCGATGCATTCACGTTGCTGTCTAAACCACCCTCATTCTCCCCTTGATTCATCCAAGTTAGCTCACTGACCGTCTTTAGCTTTTCTTCACTGGTAGTGATTTTGGTTTGGACACTGCCGGTCAAGCTTGACAGTACCATTGTCTGAGAAAGAATTATAAATTAGGGATTACTTAACCAGTAAGATTAAAAAAGTGCAAAAAACCCACAAATCGCGATATTATTCAAGGCAGTTTTTTAGTATTTTCATTTGCTTCATTTATTACTCACGGCTAAGATTTCGTTGCGCTCAGCGTTTTGACATTTCAAGCCGCTAATTTAATGTTGAATTAAACCACAACTTCACCTGATGTATGAACATAAGCTAAAAGGAAGAATATATGCACTATCAAATAAAGACGCGCCAAAGCTTCAGAGTCTCCTAGAAACTTGTAGCAAATGAATAAGATCATATTTATGAATGAATATTAAGTGTACATGGTACAAACCTGTAGATTTCCGAGTTTTTTCTTCATTAGTTGTAGTTCAATACTAATAAGATGCCTTGAGGTACAAAAACATGCGTTCCTAATTATCAACAAAAGAGTTTGAAAACAAAACAAGATAACCCGATAAGAGTATTAGGGGGCCTAAGCCTCTCATATTGCTGAGAATATATAAAAGCCTAAGTCTAAGCCTAAATAAAACTTGGTTCTAGGTCAGTCAATTTTGTAACACTCCTTTTCTTCTTTAACAAAGCCATAATAATATGCCCATTAAACAAATTGTAAAACAGCATAAACAAACCTGATTTTATCAAGGGAATGTGAGTGGTCGCGGAAGCCATTTTCGACGTCTAGGATGCAAAATACCCCAACATAGGAATATAAAACGATTACGATTCTGTTAAGTCTTTTATCAGTAATAATATGTGAAGTATGACATTATATTATTTAAGGAAACGAAGACGAAAGTGTCAAATCCTCATAAGCAACACTATAAACACGCCTATTTCACAAAGACTCGTAATGTCCGATTGATCTTTTTCAGAATGGCTTCTAAACGGATGAAAGTACAATAATTCATTTACATTTGTGTGCAAGATGACTTTATTCGGAAACAACCAACAAACCACTCAATTTCAGCAATCACTGAATCTGTAAATTCAGTAAAATGCTTAAAGTGCTCAACAACCGAGTTCCCGCCATCGGAAGATAATAAGGCTAAAGTTGAGAATGATTCAATCTGATTCATCGACAAAAATGACACTTTACTTCTGCCACAATTTCTTCGACCTCCTCTACGAGATTGAAACCAATAAGTGATTTCACTTCGTAATGTTCCTCTTTGGGGAACCTATCCTGTATTTCACCCCATATTGTTTGTATTCTCATTTTCTTTTTAAAGTTAGTTAAGCAGTGCTTTTTTCCTTTAAGCGGTATTTTTTGTTACGGTTACACGTTGTTTGCTTACAAAGAAAAACGACGCTCAAGGTGAAAATAATCTTCTACTGCATGTTATGAAAATGTTTAACAATTCTTAAAATCGCGTGATTTTTTGCAGTGAAACTGTATTTTCAATCAATAATGAGATGCTTACGCGTAATTTCTAAGAATGCAGACAAAGTGATTCCCACCAGCTTTCCTCACTTTCAATTCAAGCATTTCATTTAGCGCTATAAAGTTCATTTTTTGCTTGTGCTCATTTGATAAAGGGTCATTTTTATCTAACCATTTTTAGATTTTCTGGACACACCAATAAAAACTCTAAATACTTTCAGACAGTATGTTAATTATCTGTCCCCTTGCCGTAGTGCTTGAAAGCCGTGGTGAGGCATGCCGATCACGAATACCTATCGTCGATATACGGCTGATGGAACATTTGGAATCATTGCTAATGATTCTGTTCCAATTAAATATGTTAAAGACGTGAACGGGAAGGCTGGAAAGTTGTGTGTCACTGGGACCGGTTCCACCGTTTCTCTATGGAATCTCCACACTTCCCTCTCTGTGAGTTAAATATTTTTTTAATGGAATAGTCTGGATCTCTTTGTAGAAATTCGGGAAACCGTTTTATATCCGTACTGGCTGTCAACTATGAGTCCGGCTCTACGGATACCCTTGTTGGCGTTGGATACATGGATGGCTGGGTCACAGTGTTTTCATTACACTCGGGAAAAGAGGAGGCCTCATTTCGAGCTGGTTCTCACCGAGTCACATCACTTGACATATCGGGCTCATCTGTTGCCTGTGCTTCAGTAAGACAGCACGGATCTTATGATTTTTTTAGGAGTCTGAATTACATATTCTGGACATTATCTCAGGAGGCGGATATCGCTTAAAGGGTCATCGTGGTGCCGTCACTTCAGTTAAAGTCATACCAAATAACAATATTCTGATCTCTGGGTGCGTTGTTGCTTACTGTCTTTCACAAGTTAATTATTCTTGGATCACAAAGTACTTTTAAAATTCTTTAGCGGTCGCGACACTTTTATCAAGTTCTGGTGTCTGAAAACACAGCACTGTTTTCTTACTCTCACTGGCCATCCTGGACCTGTTTGGGACGTTGCCTTATCTGCCAACTGCAAAATCTTGGTAACTGGGAGTTCTGACACCAACTTGCGGCTATGGAAGATAAAGTACAATGTAGGATTCCTGTCTTTATTGTTTAATTTTACTATGTAGTGTTCTTTTTTATAATTTGTCTTATTGTAGAACAGAGTTGGTGAAAAGGGCGAAAGTGACTTCCTGAATGTCTCGGACGCGCAACGGTTGATCGAGGACAATCTCGTTCAATCAATTCCCCTTGCAGACTACAGTTCGCTACTGGAAATAGAATTCCGTGGAACAATTCCACGAAAATCTGTTAAGCGGGTGTTCTCATTGACTTTTGATCCGAGTGGTCGGTATTTGGCTTGCCAGGTCAATAGCCACTTTTCTTCAACTTTATTGCAATAATTTCATGTATTGAAATGTCATCATTTTGATTTTAGACTCTGGATAAGGTTCTTGAAATTTTTGTTTTGCTTAGTGAGGCTGAGCGTCAGTCTCGTCTGCGAAAGAAGCAAAAGAAGGCCAGAAAGTAAGCTCAAATGGGGATTGTTAATATTTGCCTTGTAAGTAGACGTAGAATGCCTAATCTTTTGTCAAATAATAAATCATGCTGTCACTTCCTCATAGGCTGGGATCGATAGACCCACCAGCGGTTAAGTTAACGGCAGAAGACGAACTCCGTTGCATTTACCGAATCGCTCTACCTGCAAAGCTCTCTTCTTGCGACATTCGTGTGTCCCATTTCAATCCCATGACTAGGGAAACTGAAGATCGACCTCGCATCTCAATCTTACATGTAAGTTGAGTGGACTGCCGCCTCAAACGCTCGATAGGATTTGGTATTTTCTTTTCTCCCTTTCAGATCCTCTGTTCCTACCGAAACAACCTCGTGGAGGAGTACAGCCTGAAGGTTCCCGTGACGTTGCCCACTCGACCCGTCCTTCTCTCTGGTTGCGTCTCTCGACTCCCAGAAGCCAAACAGAAGGCGATGGCAGTGGAGTCGACCGGGTGTGAGCTACGTCTTGCTGGGCGCATCTCAAATCTTGGCCATCGTGCCTTCCCTCTCAGCTGTCAGATTACCGAAGACGGCTTTGGCGTTTTTACGCTGGCTCATGGGGAGGGTAAACTGTGGAATCGGTTAGTGAAGTTACACTTTTTTACTGTAGTTGCTAAGACGAGAGGAACTTGTTAAGATGTCCAGTCATTGTTTTACGAATTGACTATGTCATGTTTTTTTATTCTCTTCATGAGAAATAATCGTACTTAGTCAGTGTTAATGCATTCATTAGAAGAAGGCATTATCTGCCTTACACTTACGCATATGCTGCGGATGATGTTTTCAGCCAAAGTAGATGACCTGCTATGCAAAAGATGCACTCGATGCTTGTGAACACATTTACGAGTCAAAAAAAGATATGAAGCAACCTTCCACTTGGCAAGTTCTTATTAGTGCCTGCTGGGTTATTTTAGTACTGCTAGTACCGATGTGACTCAGTCTAAACCTTGGTAAACTGGTATTAACTGCTTTTTGATTATTTCCACTAGTACTGTTTTATGTTGCTCTCGCCTCAGCTTCACTGGGCCACTGACTCTCCGTGTTTTTTTTCCTCTGAAATTTGTCTTGGGGTTTTTTTGCAAATTTATTTTCACCGATTCTACGGCGTGCAGATACTTGCGTATTTTTACTAGAATTCCGTGCATATTGGATAGTACTTCAGTCTTCTTAATGCGGGAGTATTACAGTTGTCATTATAATCTCTCATCCCCGTTTCCTGTTTTCTCCCACTACATCATTCGTCGTATCGAACCAAAACTAATTTTAAAGAATAGACCTGGGTAGAACACACTATCCTAACTGGGTTTGAATGCTCATTGCATTTAAATATTTGGAGTTAACTGGTCTCTCGTACTATACTTTGCGATGAACGGTAACTTCAACGGCTGATTTTTTGCTCTTTATATCTATTTAAACTACCCATTACTGGAATACCATGAGCAGCTTCGCTTTTCTGTTCGTTAAAAGTATCAGTTCTTGAAAGTGGTTTGAAATCAGGCTGCGACTGATTTGCTTTCCCTACGAATAGGTTAAACCAAACGTGCCTTACAACGATAGATTGGAGTTCTGTGGAGTTGAAAAGTACACCACTTTCAGGGGAGGAAATCTCCAAAGTGGAGAACGAGGCGGAGGATGATGCGATGATGAGTAGGAAGGTGTCTCTGAAGTCTCTAAAAGCCACCGCTTTTGTACTTGCTCCCGGTAGTCGACATGTCGCTATTGGCTTTGAGGTTTGTTGACACCAATGGCTGAGTAGTCATTTTCATATTTATTTTCCACAATTTATTATCAATCCCTATTTAGTCGGGGCTGACCTGCTTGTTCGACCTGATCACGAAGAAATGCACACAGACACTAGCCAATGCTCACACCGGTGCTGTTCGAAGTCTCATTCTCACAGGTGATCGGGTAAGACCGAATCCCCTTGGCTAATTAATCCCCCTAGAAAGGCATCATTTCCGGAAGTGCAGATTCCAAAGTAGGATTCTGGGATTTTGATTTGAATGTGCATTTAAAAAGGTAAGCTATTACCTCCAGATGAATTGCTTACAAAAGGAAGTGAATTATTTAGAAAATGGTACTTCTGAGTTTGCTTACACTGTAACCATCTCGACAATGCTTTCTCTCATTATTTTGCCTTTTGTTTACGAAGCCACTCATTCCTCACTTTCACAGCTTCAACCTTTTTTATGACTCCAGCAATCGTGTTGGGAGAATGCAAAGGCTGAAATACGTAGTTGTTTTGGGCGAAAAGATGGTGCTTCAACGCATCAAAATAAGCGAATAGCTGTACACCTTCATCGATAAATATTTTTTCCTAGGGAAAGCACAGCTTAATTTGACTTTAGATTAAGTTTTTCGGACCCAGAAAATGGTTTTTATTAACCTCATTCCACCTACTACATTGGTAAGTATGCCCTTTCAGTGGTCCGAGCCTCTACCTGAAGTCACACCGACCGGTCCAATCAGTTGCTGATCAGGTAACTGCTCTGACCACTACTCCAGACAACCGTCTTATCGCTGTGGCAATGGTTAATCTACATGTGGATATCTACTTTACGGACTCATTCAAGGTGAACCCTTTCATAACTTCTGCCATTAAATCACTTTTTCCAGTACTTGAGGTGCGGTTTGAATAATCCATTTTCTCCTTTCACTTCTAGCGGGTGCATAGCCTCTATGGCATGTCTGCTCCTGTGAGTTGCATGGACGTGTCAGAGGACAGCCGTCTGCTCTTAACCGGCAGCGGAGACAAGACGGTTCGATTGTGGGAGCTCCAATTCGGCAACTGTGTGCGGCGATTCGTTCAACATACTGATCCGTAAGCACGTAGTTAATTTCACAGCAGCATACTTCAGTTCCCCTCTCATTGTGTTCTACGATTTTTGCATGCGACGGTCGAGGCCTACAAGATCGACATCTTAATCACTTGTCATTGCGATATGCGGAGATGCAGTATTTTGAATTATTTGTGGGGCCAGTCATGTGCGGTTCAAAGCGTAAATCAAAAAGTGTCTCCATACTGAATTAATGATGCATTTGTTTCGGGTTAAATTAATTTTTAGCCTTTAATTTTAGTGTGAAAGTCAGATTGCAGGGATTTTTAGTGATTATCTTATGTGGTTCATTTGATGTCGGTTTCAGGATTACGGCTGTGCGGTTCATGCATGGCTCGACTCTGGCCTTCTCTGCAGATCTCGGTGGAATTATCCGTGAATGGGATGTCAAAAAACTGCAGGAGGTTTGTGTGCTGAAGGTAATTATAGCACGACTGTCAATTTGACTAATTTATTTTATGGTGTTGGGATAAAAGTAATTATTTCTCCTCGACTTGAAACTAGCAGAATCGCGTTGTTTAACACAACCGCAAGAAATAGTAACCATTTGAAGTAATTTATTGTGCTACTTTCTCTCCTAAAGGGCCATGAAGGTGGCATCACAGGTCTCGTGACCCTGGCAACCCGCCCAGGTCTTGGTAAACTAATGCGAAAGAATCGTCCTCGTGCACCCCCCAAGCGCAAACGTTCAGACACTTTCGATGTAGCCTCCGCTGACGAGGGCGAGGAGGACGACTTTGAAGCGGATATCTGCGGCGGCGTAGTAATATCCACCGGTCGTGACTTCTCCTGTCGTGTGTGGTGTGAGTCTGAGGAACCTCTGGTGCTCGAAGAGGAGGCGGAGCTGGCTCGTGAGGCCGCGGAGGATGAGCACGAGCTTGCCCGCTATGAAGCCATCGTACCGGGAGCTGTTGCTCCCGAGGCCGGTGAAACTGGACCCCTAGGCCGTCCCACTGTCACTACTCGTAATGCTGTAAGTCTCACATTCATTTACTGGAACCCTCTTTAACTATCTCCCCTCTAAATAGGCGGACTCATTGATGGAGGCAATAGACATATACACCAGACAGACGCAGATTGAAAATGAGTCAGAGCCACCGCATCCACTGATGGTGGCCTATGGCGTACCTGACGACCCCGACCGCTTTCTCTTCACCATCTTCTCCTCTCTCCGATTACCTGCAAGCGGTGGTATGTCCGGGCTGGAACACGCACTGGGCTGCATACACAGCGACCACGTGACTCGTCTTCTACCTCGTCTGGCCGCGTGGATGGGGCGCGGATGGGACATAGAACTGTGCGGTCGCGCCCTCCGCTACCTCTGCACCCTCCATGCCGCTCTCGTGACTGCTGATACCAATCTGACCTCCACCCTTGCTGCTGCTGTGGCTGCCAAACGGTCACATCTCTCGCAGACCAAGGTGAGCCGTCCTATTAATACCGTTTAAGCTCTTAAAAAGTCCTACTCAATTTATCGCCTCTTACCTTGTAGAAGATGCTTGGGATGAATCTGGCGGCGCTAGATCTCTTGCAGCGGAAGATTGAGGAGGAGAACCAGATTTCTCTGTTCGAGGAGGCTACCTCAAAACGAGTGAAGCGAATAAAGAAGATTAAGGAGAAAATTGCCAAGCGAGCGGCCGTCCCCACTGGTTGAGTGTATTTAAGATATTGCATAACATGCTTGTGCTGTATTTACTCATTTGTATGCTACAAATTTGTCCCCGACCTATGTACATTATGTTTTTTCAAAGGGTACTTGTTAATTTTTACGTGCTCTAGTCTTACTCTTAGGAAATTCTTTAAACAAGCTGAAAAGCCCAGCTGTGAGTGGCTGTAATTTCCCCCCGAAGCAGAACTGGAGGTGATTTTCATATCCGTGATAAAGGCGACCTTCGGCACTTGTCTTGTTAACTAAGAATTCTGCGACGATTAATTATACTTGTCCAAAATGATTGTTTCATGATGATTAAATGACAGGCAGTAGCTGTTGATGCAAAGACCGAACTTCTAATAACTGAAGTCAGCGGTCCTGTAAACCCATCGCAGCACTTGACGGGCAGCGGTTTTGCTTCGGGGTTATTCAGTTGAGACTACCGCCTGAGATGGAATGCAAGGCCATGTTATTTTTATTCAAGGTTTTCCCCTTTTGATTCTAATTGATGCAACACCCCAGCTTGGTATTGTTTGTGGAGTCGCGTCGCCTACACAGGATGAGCAACTTACTGGAAAGGGAATACGTGGGAAGCAAGCGAATTTGATCCGAAAATTGGATGATTTAAGCACCAACCGTTTGCAGCATAAGTGAAGTAGTTTAAAGAGACAATGTTTATTGTATATCGCAATATTAATGCCTATGATTGGACATCAAAATGCGGCACCAAGTAGTTCGCTTTGGTCACAATCACAGAGAAATAACACTAACACAATTACTAAATAAATCATAATGCAGGTATTTATTCAGAGCTTGTCAGGCCATACACTGGGGCGTCTTCATAGCTCCTTTTGAGTTTGAAGGGTCTACAAGCCGCAACAATAATGATGTAAATAATCCGGAAGCGGGAGTGGGGACATTTTAAACTAAAGTTAAGTACGAATCCCAAGTAACTATTGCATGAAAGGCGGGCTGTTATCACTGTATCAGGTTTGACTGTAAACAGTGATTTTGTCAAGCGCTGAGTAGGTATAATGAAAATTTCCCTCCAAAATAGTGACTCCTGAAATAGTTGTGAGTAGATCCGAAACAAGGGTGAACACTAGTAGTGTGCAGAAAGTAGTGAAGAATGCGTTGAAGGTTCACATATTCGTATTGAAGGAGGGTCCACTGTAGTGAATAAGTAGCGTATCACTCTAGTAAGGTGCTGTAACCTGTTCACAACACTTATCCACGACTTTCTGTCACAAATATGTGTCACGTTAGGGATGCCTACCTATGAGTCCACCGCATTGGAAAAAGAAAATTGAACTGCCAGACTGAGTTGGGGATGAAGTTTAGTGCTCCAAGCTCACATACTTCAAACGCAAATCAGTTGGCTCGAGGACAGGCGCCAAACACCTCGATAGCGCCGCCTTCAAGGCGTCGTGCATGGCACGCTGGGTGGAGAGGAAGGTCCTCGTAATCTGCAGTTGTTCTTGCAACACATTGTCCAGAGCCACGAGACAAGGACTGTGGGAGGTTAGAGCTAAAATACGGGACGGGGGTTACATCAACAGTCTCAGCATAGGCAATTTGGTATGCGTTTTCCATTCTAGGAAAAAAAAATAAAACTCAAATGCGATGAGATGGACAGTCACAGAGTTAGAAATACAACTGAGATGCGAAAAGGGGCTTTGAAATATGCCTCATTAGGTTTCAGATGAAACTTAGAGTTCCCACATCGAAAATATTACTATTTGAATACGGAACTGGGGTACGAGATTGGAGGAATTGGACAACAATCGAACTCTGGATTTGGAGGTTATGGACGATGGAAAAACTTATGGGATTGAGGTATTTCCAGTGCTAGTTTTTTAAGGAAGAGAAGGGATAAAAGATTACTTTCCATAAGGGAAAATGAAGTTATATTTCCCATATGCACTGGATGCATAACAAAACCGACCCATTGACATACTCTTAATGACGCTTTTCGTGTCAAGCGGATAGGGTAGAATGGGGCGAGGACCAGGACGTTTGGCAATTATGTGTTCAACAGCGGCAGTAACTGCGGCAACGAACGCCTTCTGGTCGCAGTCGCCTGTGCGTGAAGGGGATTGTCGAGGCTCAACATCTGTCATTATACCAACATTACGAGAGCTCCCTCTTCCTTCGTTCTCCCTTGCTTTCCTGAAGCATAAAATGGCAGCATGATGGTCAAAGTTGAGGTAGTGTTGAATAAAGCCACTGGTCTTCCAGCCCTTCTGTATGCCTACAAAGTCTTACTTCAAGACCCCTGTGATTTGCGACGACTTTAAATACTTTTGGTTTACTCGATCAGAAATGACGGGACTTGACAGCAAATTGAAATGAGTACTAAATGAAATGTTTTTCCATCGTCTTATATGCTACTAGGATCTTCCTGCTTAGTAAGAGCGACTGACGATTAGATATCGTCCAAAATCCTCCAATTTTCGGACAATGTTGGGCAGCTTTTTCCGCTCAAGTCAAAATACAGACGCTGAGGTTTGTCGAGTGCGAGTAGGGGAAAATGCAAAAAAATATTTTCGGCTTGTTGATTGATAATTACCCCAAATGTTTTAGACTGGTTGTCATATCAACGAATAAACCTGACCTAAGTGGTCAGTTACCGTTAAGCTGTAATGGATACTCACTGGAATGTATGGAATTTTGATTCGCCGGTGTTCTTTATTATCTCCGCACGCTTTTTAGATTTCTTTGCATACCCTTTGACGAAAGCAGGGCTACTGTACTGAGGCATTGGGGTAGATTGAACTAAAAAATTACAAAACTCTGATTGACTTTCGGAGAATATGATGTAATTCACAAAAGTGTTTGGGTCCTGAAACACTCTTTTCTGCTGTCGTACCTCTTACACTGCCTCTAAAAGACAGCTCGGATATTTTTTGGTGAGATTAAGACTGTGCAGAACTGTGGTACTTGAATTCCATGTTTAACCATCGGGTTCCAATTACGCGAGCACTTCCACTCGGTGGCATGGCCCCTGGGCCATGCCAGTAGCCCTCAGCCCTTCTAAACTTCGTCAATCCACTTTCTGCCCTAGAGTTGTGACTTCTTTTCACTTCAGGTAAGACTGGGAGCGCTACATTGGTGACGGTGGAAAGCAAAGCCAACCATAAAGAACAAATACCCTGATTTCCGTTTCTGAACGCCAAACCTTAACATGGCGGAAGAAGGGCTTATAATGGGGATAGGAGAATCTGTGACGATCCCTACCAGAAGGGTTGAAAATAGCGTCTACTTTACGCACCTGCCTCGGCCTCGTACTCTGCAGGAATGTTATTAACAAATAAAATGGCCCTACCCGTAAAACATCTTGAAAACTTCATTACGAAGCGATCTACGGTCCCTATGCGGAGATGTTATTGTGGTGAATACGTGATACCTCCTCCAAATCGCTACTGACTGGATAGAACCCAAATAGATATGAATGGGCATGACGGAAGTGGGATGAAAGTGGCAAGAAGGAACAGACACAGGCACTTAAAGCTCCACAATTGTACTTTCGTCCAGCAGCACGGTTCCCCGGGTCATGGCAGTAGCCCCTCTACCCTTCTCTACATCGGCAATACATTTTCTGTCCTGGAGTCATGACTTCTTCCGACTTCAGGAAAGACTTCGGGCGCTACATTAAATGTCCTCGTCGTTAAATGTAAATTTTATTCCACAATCAACCATTTTAAATTGGCAGAACAATGGGGCAACTGATAGTTGACGACACAAGTTTTTAGAAGACAAGTCACTCAATTGTAAGAGAAAAAAATACAATGCAGATGTGCCAGTGACCCCTATTTTCGACTGCATATACTCAGTGAACGTTTCTACTTACATTTTCTAGGAGTTTCCACTTCTGTGGCTAACCCCCTCTCTTAGTCCCTCCTGGCTGGCTGGTTTCAGGATGCATTTCTATGCACGTACTTTACGCGCACCAATTCTGTCTGTGGGATCAAGTTTAATCAAATACTACAAGTAAGTGAGACGGGAACCACTTCGTGCCTCCAACATTCTCCACCAGTCGGATGGCGATTGGATGTGCGCTCCTCGTACTACCTTGCCTGCTCGTGCTCGGTGGCAAATAATGGCATCTGTATCGAAGTCTTGTCTATTAACTACTCTAGTTAAGATAGTGCTCCACGGGATCCAAATTCACGCACACAAACACCAGATCACTAAAACTTAGCAATTTGTGTACTTATCCACAAGTAACAATTAAAATGTCATTTCGGAAAGTTGAAAGCCTACCATATCTTGAATTGACAAATTTGCTAGAAGATGCGCCTGACCTGACACTCCTACGCACTGCTTTGTGCTCACTTTCGGAAGCACTAGGCAGTCTTGTCAACCTTTTATCGGCCTCTTCGTCACTTGACGATTCAAAGTCATCGGAGTATTCGCCTACGTTTTCAGTAGTCCTTTCATTGCCTGGGGAGGCGCTTCCACTATCTTTTGCATGTGTGAAGGGTACATGTGGGTGTTCAGCACTATCCAAAGAGCTGTTTGAACGGGACAGTGATGGGGAGGAACTCTGTGACTGATCTAATAGTGAAAAGATGAAACGTTCTTGCTATCAGGTGCCATGCATAACCAGTAAGATGGTCAGAATTTTATTAAACTTGAAGTGTTTAATCTTATTAGTTGTGAAATATAAATGCAAATATTCTCAGTATTTGACCTTCATTGGCTAAAAATCGGTGATATACACTTGAGTTTACATAGGGATTGAGGATGACAAATTAGTACTACTTGTTAACTCATATCTATGTGTCGAAAAGTAGTACCAACCGTCCCCTTGAATGGACATTATTTCTTCAAAGTTGTATACCACTGGGGCTTTGGAATTTCCACCTAAGGTGAAAAAACGATGGTTAAGTAACTATATATTTGCATTACCTAGCAAATGCAAGTTATACAAAGCCTGTAGCAAGAAAACTTCTAGATGAATCGCCGGAAATTATTCGATTTAAGACAATAATCATAGGAAGACTGGCCTTTGAAAACTGATGGTTTGAAGGAAGATGATCTTTTTTCAACCCGTCGTCGTGGCATTGGTCGAAGGGCTAAGGACTTCGCTTCTGTTGCGGAAGAGATTGGGTCTGCAACTTTCTGATCCTCATTTATGTCATCAAAAACGCCACTTTGAATTGCACAAAGCTAAAACATTTTTCTAGCATTAGCTTTGCTGATAACACATGAAGTTGCGAAAAAAAGAACACAATCTTAAATTTTGAGAGTACTTCCCGTTATTTTACGAAGAAAAGCACTAAGATTTTACAAAATATGTTAAATAGGTGGATGCAAAATTCTTAACTGCAAAGATTAAAAATTGGTTAAAAACTTACAGACTTTGGAGTTGAGGAAAGACGGTAAGTTGAAGGAGATCTTTGATCAGCGGATTGAATGTCGGGGGATTTTTTTGTTCTTAAGGTTTCAATCTCAGATAATTCATCCCCTAAATCTATAAGGTTACCATAGTATTTAGTCGGAGGAATTTTGCGATTTATATAAAAATTTTTAAGTGTTAAAGTAAGCGTGTGGTTCTAATACATACAAAGCAAAAACACATCAAACAAACTTAAAAGAAACAAATGCACTCATTTTAATTGATTGACCATGTGTAAGGGCATTCATTGCCAAATAGGAAACAACAGATTATTATTTTGAGGCAAAAATATTTGGGGACCAGAATTTTTTAGTAAGAATTCACAACTTACCGATATTTAAATTAGGGGGTTTTACGATCTTTGAATCTCTACAGTGGAAATATGAAAACTTGAATTATGATTAGGGTATCAGCGAAGTTGTTGTGAATCACTTCCTTGGTTCTTGTGCTACATTCACTCACACTTAATCAACAACTTATAAAACCTTACAGAATAAAAAATTTGAATTCTTAGTTAATAAACTCCAGGTGCAAAAAAAATTGGCATATTTATTAACAAGACAGACTTCTTTCGAGGTTGAACTCACTTGGAGGTCGATACACGAGCGTTCGTTTTGAGGAATGAGGCACCAACAGAAGTAGCGGACCCATACGTTGCAGCTGTTCTAATAATATCGTTTACTTTTTCTTGCTTGACATCAGAAAGTGTTTCCAAGTAAGCCTTAATTCTCTATTAACATACAGTAAAGCGAACCTTAAATTCACTTTCGTAACCCACATCTTCATTTTTGGGGACAGCATTATTGGAAAAACGGCCCTTGCTTTTACGATACATTAATTTCTAAAATATGTGGCAAAAGAGTAAATGATAATGCAAAGTGTAGGAATCGGGTGAGAGGGTTTTTAGATTATGCAAAATAGAATTTGCCTAATATTAACACAAAAGCAATACCGTCATTAGTTTTGCTCGAAAGCCAAGTATGAGGTAAAGTAATTAAATAAACTGCATATGGGTGCTTAAAAATTATGTTACAAGGTATATCACCCGTTTATTGGCTTGTCGAATACTTGTGCCAGTTTAAATAGTGAACACGATTTTCGCATCTACATAAAATACTAAGAGATATTACTACAGCAAATATTAACATAAATACAATATGCCATATCAAGGTGTTAGAACTCAGCAGGATGTCCGAACTTAATATCAAATGCACTCTCAACATCACTTAAAATTGTTCAAATAACCGCGGCATTAAGTGAACCTGAACCAGCATACTGCAAAAGGATAAGTACGCAATTATTCACCGAAGCATTTCATCAAAATATGTAATATTTTTTTCGTGCAAAGTGACCACTATTTGCTAAAATTTTCTCTTTATAATGAATCATCATCAGGTCACTAATGTAACATCACAACATCTGTGCCTTCAAATGACATATGAAGCAATCTATCCTTATATAAAGATAATTACAGCACTTATTATAGTGACTTTGGCTGCAAGCAAAAATATTTTTGAGACGTATTGTTTAATTCACCTTGGATCGTCAAGGTTTTAACAGGAGGCATATTTAGTTGTGTCTTCGCGTATTGCTTTTGCTTGTTGTTGGTTGTGCGGACTATTAGATGCAATCGGCCAGCGGAGAACAATCTTTGGGGTCGGATTTCTTATTGGTATGCGGTACCCTATGTGCTTCCTTTCTTCTAACGGCACATATCACACACGAGGTCCTCACATGCTTGCTCTTATAGTCATATTATATCGCGTCTAGGATCGATGTTATTATGGAATCGATAGGTTTTTGCACCGAAGCTTCATGACGCGTCATCCGAACTGATTAGTTTTTTTTGTTTTTTACGTAATTGGGAGTGATGACATTAGGTCCTGCTTATTTCAGTGTAGCGTAGTTTTCCTCTTTAAAAACACTGGTTGGATATTAAAATGAGGTCATTTACTTCGCTATTTACAGTTGTTTTAGGTAGGTTTGGTTTTCAGTTCCGTAATCACTTTTGATCTCGTTCTTGAAAAGCATTGTCTGCGTCGTGCATTCTTGTGTGTTTTTTCGACGACCCGTTTTTGGATTCTTCCTGTTGCGGCGGACACCGAGATAATCTTAATCGTTAGAACCTGCTTTCTACTTAGATAAGCTGCTAAAATTTTTGTTTTAATGAATTTTACCTTTTTCTTTAGTTCCGTTGCATTTGTCTATTTTAATCGATGGCAAGCTTTACATGCCTGCATATCTTCGCGGTCTACTTTATTACTTTTTTGTAATCAACTTAGTTACTCCACTTTTTGAGACTCGTTAACAGTGAATTTAGACTCACTTTCAAGTATGCTGAAGTGGAAGTTTTATTGATCACATTTTGTCTTGATTTAAGAGGTGAAAATGTGGTTTTCTGTTTCGACTAAGTCAATCACTTTATACGCGATTTCATTCATTATAAACTGCCTGACTTCCAACAGGAATTTTTAGGCACGCCATTTTTAAACGTCATATCAATGGTTCATTTAATTAGCTTTATGTTTGCCTCCAGATTTAAAAGTTCATCGTAAAGGTCTCTGTTTGCTCGTTCGTCTTCCTCAAATTTCGCGCTTCACTGTAGCGTTGGTGGCCTCTCCTTGCTGCCTACGCACATTCAAACACACTATCACATCTACCCACAGTTCCCTACATCCACACATGCACATGCATACACACCTGCTTTCAGTTGTGCACCCTGCCGTCTTCGCACCCTTAGAACCGATACACACACGCACACGCACACATGCACGGCACGAATGCAAACACATGCGCGGGCATATACACATACACACCATTATCGATCCACATCAGTGTGTGTGTATGTATGTACGTATGTGTGTGGGTGTGGTGGTTCTGCCAGCGCACAGCTAATATCACATCTCTATTCACCCCATGTGTTCGCTCGTGTGCTACTAGACGATTGTTGCAACTGTCTGTAAGACTTTCGTTAAATGTTTATTCGAACCAAGACCAGTTTTATTTTTGAGCCTTAAAATATCAACATTACTTCAGTGGCTTTTTGTGGAAGCTTTCAATTCTCTAAAACCATTTTCCTGCGTTCGTTTTGTATGTATGCCTTTCAATTCCACTCCGTCCATTCTAAATACCTAAGTCAGTGTCATTGCATACATTAAATCTATTAAAAATCGACTTTATAATAGCATGGGAAGGCTTGTCCTTTCCCTAGTCTATGTGTAGTTGGTAGCGCAATGCCGAGGTTTTTATGAGATTTTTCTTTATATCTGAATGTCCAATGCGTGCTTCCGTAGACTACTATGTGGAAGAATTATATACATGGTCACTGTGCATATTCAACTCTGGATTGCACCTTATTTCAATGCACATGACTTCATGTGGATAAATCACACCACCATTGTACCTTGAATGTTCGCCTCTGCCACGTCTTTTAAGTCTAATCTTTTAACTTTGACATCACGCATGATAATTCATTTTTATTGGTAGTTATAGATGTTCCATAAAGCAGAGCTGCATGCTAAATATAAGGTTTGCCCATGGTTGAATGTTTTATTTTTCCTACGAGAAACACACGCACATACACATGCACCTACACTTTCGGAAATGGGTGTGCGTGTGTTAGGGTGACAGGCTTGCAAACACACGTGCGCACTCACCCAATCACATACACACACACGCATGCAATCGTAAAACCACGCGAGCCGGCGATGAGTCATTTACTGTCCCTGAAATATTCGTGATTGGATCACGGTGGTTCTTCCTAAACCCGAGAAACGAGACAACTTTCTATGCAAGGTTAAACGCACGGGTCAAATCAAACATTGACATTGTAGGACCTGCCAAGGGAATCCTTGGTGTCGATCATTCGACAAATGTCAGGTCAGCTGAGTCAACTGCGCTCTCAGCTGACGGTCTTGGAGCAGCGCAACTGCATGTTGCAGGACAGACTACCGGAGCTCATCCGTGGCACTATTCGATCGGCGGTGAGTCAACTTAACTGACACCGTGCATATTGAGGCGACATAAGAGCCAAGCTGACACCTCTATAGTTCACCTTCAGATGTCCGCAGAAGGGAGCAAGGATGCAGTGGATGATTGTCAAATGAGTGTGAAGAATGAGGAAAAGGGCACCGCAAGGGTATCGGAAGGTGGCGACGCTGTAATCCCCCCAGTTGGATTGTTGACCCTCCCCTCTACTTTGGCACCGCCACCCACCTCCCTACCTCCTGAGTCCTCCGTCGTGTTAAAATTTTTAAACACATTCCTCCGTGAGTTGTTCTGCTGCGCTCCCAGATTCCATCCACTCCTTAGAAGAAGTTTACTCATGAGGTTGTGTCACCACTAAAATAAGATTTGTTAGATATGAGGCTGGATATGGGTTATTAAAAGCTGTACTTATTGAGGATAGCTTATTTGGTACTTATTTAATTTGCGGTTAAATTTCTCTATTCTTCAAACTCAGCATCAGCTCTACCAACAGCCGAAGCCCCATCACCCGTCCCTACCCAATTGCCAGTTACAGTCCCCCAGAATACAGGTAAGCCATAGAGGCTTTTAATTTCCAAGGCTACCCTAAGCCCTCTATGGTTATCCCTCTGCTTGAGGTCGTCTAGAAGCATTCCTTCCATTTGCTCCGTTTGTTTTTCTCTTAGAGTTATTGATGGTGCTTCGCGTGAATAGGATACACCCTAAAACGGACTTAATAGCTGTGATTTGTAAATTGAGTTCAAAGTAGTCTATTGGATAATTTTTCATGCGATCTGATTCCCCCGTCTCCATCCATTATTGCGTTGGAAGCTGAATGTAATTCTAAAGCGAGCGGATTTTGTATGGTAATAGTATTTTTTACAGTAACATTTAACTAAAAGTAAAGCCATTTAATGAGATGTGTTATAGTCGTTTTGTGGGGCTGCGCCTTATACCTTATCCTCTTTTCTACTTTGTTACCATTTTAGATGTTGTAAGCTGGTTGTTTGGCCTATTCTTAACTTTTGCAAAGAGAATAAGTATTTCGTCTTCGAATGACGGTCATAGTTGGTCTTTTTTCAAGCAGATATTATAAACGCTTCTTTTACACATATTTTCATTATCTAATCTCGCCTTATTACTAACTATGGTGCAGAACTGATGTTCGGAATGGTTGGCGGAATTTGGCATCATTTTGATTGCCCACCTGTCTTAAGTCCTGGTAGATCCAGCTATACACAACCTACACCTTCCCCTTGTAAGGCTTGAGTGTATTATTTACCTTCTGAACTGAGTTTGCTCACTACCGTCACTACTGCAGCGCTCAAGTTATCCGAAATCGCTCAGTTACCAGTAGCTTGGATGGCTTGTTCGCAGGCTAAACAGTGCGGGGACTGGCGAATATACCTTTGAGGGAATCCCAAGCGAGTTTTTTCTTTTGAGATCGGGATGTTGCTAAGGCATTGCGAAGCCTATAATGTTGTTTACACTGGTGATTTTATTGGCTGATAGTAGAACTACTCTGTCTCATTTTAACTCATACTAATGGCATTTTGAATTACCTAGGTGAATAGGATTAATATTGCTCACGAACATGATAAAAGCTACAGTAACTATCTTACCGACTCATAATTTCTCCGCCAAATCATGTTAACCACCAGGCATCGATACATCGGATATGGTGAAGCTGACACCACTGCCTCCTTTGAGTTCACTTGAGGAAGATGGCGAGGAGGAGGGGGAGGATTGCCTCACCTCGGCGGTATCTCGACCTCGGCGCACGCGGACTCGCACCGAGACGACGAGTTTGTTGTCCGAGGAGGTAATTCAACAGATTGAGGAGCAGATCCTCTCCTCCATGACGGAGCGACGCGAACGCTTCTGGCAGATCTTCCTTGAGTCTAAGGGCTGGACTCGAGCCACTTGCGCTCTCATGTCTTGCCTCTTCACGCGGTGGCAAATGGCCCACTCTACCGTTTATGGCCGCCAGTCACCCGTAGGCGGTGAGGCCAGAGACCCTCTTCCCACTCGCCTCGTTCACTACATTGTCAGTAAGTCCCCAGTGAAAATACGTTTACTATGTTTACTACATTGACTAGCTACAGCTCATGCTGGTATGAGGCTATACTATTGGTCTTGAAGCACTAGCCGATTAGTTTTTCAAAGCACTCTCTAACTATTGAGTGGTAATGTGATGTCTAAAAGAGATCGTCAGCGATTGAAAAATGTGCCTGGCAATGAAATCAAATACCCGCCACCAAGAGATAGCTTTTTCTCCCCAAAGGGACCACCAAAGTTCTCACATTGGTTGTTATTGGTGCTAACACTCAGTAAAGATGATAATTGACCTACAGTATACTAAGGATATAATCCCCTCTGATTTAGCTTGAGTGATTAACCCATTTGTTCTGATGAAATATTGACATCTGATGATAAAATGTCACAATGTCTACTAGCCGAAATGAGAAAATTGAGCTGTGCAGTACATGGGAGCATGTCTCCCTAGGAAATTTTTAAAGACATTTGCAATAATTCCTTCACACTCCCATTGGGAAATCTTGAAAACAACTTGAATAACCGCTTATAATTTCCTGAACATTCTACTTGTGTTAATAAAGTAACAAGGGTTTGGAACCAATAAATAAGGCAATCATACAGTTTTTAACAATTCTGATGTATTGATATGTTATAATTTAAACCTGCCATTTGTATTTAAATCACACTTGTAAATGTAGTTCATTGTATATATATCCTGCCCTGTGATACATGATTTAAAAGAAAAAAGATTGACGGACTCAGCACCAAATCTGATTGGATCTCTCTCGCTCTTTTCTTAAAGCAAAGATCAACCGGCGCTTTGGCGTGAATCCGGTGAAGGTGCGCGCAAGGATGGCGCAGAAGTGCAAGGATCTACGCCGTCTCATACGCAAGTACGGGGAGGACGCGGTGGCGGTAGAAGGGGCGGCTGCTGTCTCTACCGTCACTAACGGGAGGGGGGAGGCTGAGACGGAGGATACCAAAGCCCACTGTCTTGACCTTGGCACCTCTCATACATCAGTCTCCTTCGTGCCGCTGCACAGCTCTCTTCCACCCCTCCCTAACATCACTTTCCCGCCAACCTCTTAAATTCTCTTTCCACTTTTCTGTTTACCTGCGATTTTGTGATGGGGAGCAGGCCTTCTCGTTGCGCACGTGCCTGTCTCCTTGTGGTGACAACGCCTTGTACATAGTATACATTATGAATATATGCATATACATCTGCTTCGTTGTAGGCTCGGTCTCACAGTTTGACTTCCTAGTTTCTGACGTTTTTTATGGAATTAGAGGGTTGGACCCCGGACACAAAGAATGTTACACTTGATTTTTTATAGATACTATTTTGGTGGTGTTTTAGACCGTATTCACTATTTACCATAATCGAGTGCTTACATTTTATTGAAAGGTAGATGAAAGGTTCACCACTTTCTGCGCTCGGCAGAAGTCGCAAACACTTTGGTCTTATCTACGCCTCGTAGATACGGCTAAGCGACAAATTGAGGTGAGTCTTTGAATTTGTGATAACTTCTGCGTTTCCGTTTGAAGCTGTTGTTTATTGACTATCATCAATGGTGGAAAAGGCGTCTCCGTTATGGTCACTATGATTTGCAAGACTTCTTGCTCATACAAAGGTGATTGAATTTCTGTGCACTCATCGTTCGGGTCGAGAATATTCCCGTGTATGCTATTCTTCGGTTTTCTAGCTTTGGACACCTTCGATGCATCTGTAGATCCAGCACCGTGTTGCGAAGCGCGTCGTTAGTGTTCATCCATGGCCAACCCACTTTGCCAATGCCGTTTCTGGTCTACCACAATGGAATTGTTGCATTTGCTGGGATGAAGAAATGAGATTGCCGCCTATCCGCTCCTCCTTCTAGGTGGTGTGCTTAGTACTATGCATCAATTTCCAGACAGCAAGCTCGTAATGTTCTTCATGGCTCAATTTGAAGTTACTGTTTTCTCAGGCACTTATCATTCATAGGCTTGGAGTCCGACATTTTGATAGGTTTCAGTCGTGCCCATAAAGAGCCACATTGTTCTACATCTATGCAGGTTCAGTAGAGTTTGGCTGGTCGAGATCTGCGACTAAGCGCAATCTCACCTCATCACCTGGCCCAAAACATTCAGGCTTCAGGTGTCGTAGTGCAATATGTGCCACGCTGTTGAGTTATGGGCAACTCAATTTCCTTACTTCAGAACACCTTGACCGCATTTCCCAATTTTATCGAAATGGAAATTTCCCCACCTCTAGCTATTTGGAAACCCTCAATGAAGGTAGGCCTCAGTTAAATACAACCATATTTAAATGGACAAAGATGAGCTTGAGATTCTCTCTGATGGCCCTTTGGATTCCATCCCATTTCATTCCGCATTTACACAAGTGTTCACGATTTTCTTTATTTAGTGATGAAATGAGACCAAATGGGGCTCCCGCTTTACGAAAGGCGCCCTAAAGTGGGATGATATTTTACTGCTGATGATGGCGAGGAGGTCATTTGAAACCAATGGGTAGGCAACAAGGCAGCAAAAGGCAGGACAGGGCAAGGGTGCTATGGCATCGCGTTGGTAGTCCGTTTTTCTGTTGGTGTTTGAGCTTTTTTTGGAAAGAGATATGATCTCTCCTAAAACCAAAAAAGGTAGCAATTAAACGAGCCGTTAAGTTAATGCCAAATCAGCCAATCACCTGCAAAAAAAGCGATTCACAAATGAACTAACCTCTTTATTTCTTTGCGAGACAGATAAGAGCGATTTATTAGCGAGACATCTCTGAAGATCATTCTGTTGTTGCTGTAGCATTTGTTGCTGCTGGTGTTGACTAGATCTTCCGATTAAACCCCGCTCTGGTCCACCGGTTCCCGCCATAACGGCGGAATTTGGGGGCCCGGGAGACACTGTGGAGACGCCGGAGGGTGTAAAGGTCATGGAGGCAGTGAATAGCAATCCTCCTCCACCACTGCCTTCGTCGGGGGTCGCACCACTGGTCTGCTGCGGTCCCATAGATCGGGCGGGTGTGGGAGTTCTGGAATATGTCCCGGCTTCACCTGTTCGTCGCATAGGAGTGCCGTCTCTGCTGTTTGCAATGCCGATTGGTCGATTCGTGTAGCGTATCGAAGGTGTGTCCGGCTGGTGTCGGTGACGGTCCTCCACCTGGAATGAAGCTGACGAGGAGAGAAGGGTTTTAGGTCGCTCTGGTCTCTGTGGCACTCTCTCTGCTGTCGGTGGAGAGATGGACGTCTTTCGAGAAGTGGGCATCTGAAAATTGCCAGGCACTTGCGCAGAGAAGGTTGAATATTAAATTCTACCAGCTATAAACTGGTCAACGAACCTGTGTAGCTCTACCAGTTTTGACCGACGAACTGCATCTGTCCTCGTAGAAATTGAAGTGAGATTGCAACCAGCTGGAAGAACCGCGTCTATCTTCTCCAAACTTCGGAGTGGGAGGTTTATTTTTGCACCGACGAGGTGTTGCGCCACCAGTGGTACTATCAAAAGACGATGCAACGTTGTACGATTGTTGCTGCTGTTGCTGTTGACACTCGAACTCATAGGAAGAGACCATGATAGAGGTAGTGTCTCTGACTCCTGGAAGAGCGGAGGAAGCCAGAGAGGAGTCACTGGCAGCCCGGGAGGATGAAAATCCCTCCTCATCGTCGTCCTCCTCTGCCTCATCTGAAGCACCGTTGTTGTCGCCTGATCCTCTGATATCGCCGCACCCACATCTAGGTCGCCCAAAATCAACTCGCCATCTTCTTTGCCGTCGACACAAATCACACTGCGACTCTACTGCCTCCACACTGAAAACTGGACTGGCCGAACATCTGTGACGCAACGGAGATTTCTGTTGATATGGATCAAATGATCTTGCCTTCTCCACGTAACGATGTGCCGGTTGAGCAGAGCAATGACTACAACAGGGCTCCTTCTGTTTCCTTGTCCTCTTCTGCTTCCTGCGTTGGATTACAGGTGTGTCAATGTGAACTCCCTTGGGCGCTCCCAGTTGTTCCAAGGCACGAAGGTGCTCCCAACAGAGTTGAATGTGTCCACCACTACCGTCGCAAGAAATACTCGGAAGAGTGGATCTTTTCGAAATCGATGATGAGGCGACCAGAGGACGTCCAAAATGACAGTTTCGGTGGCTTTGATGCGGACAGTGCTGATGGTGGTCGTACCGACCTCCACACTCCGCATTGTCGAGTTTCGGCATGCGGTTTCGACGCTGCAGACGCTGATTAAATCTATACTCCTCGAATGAGATATCGGAGCTAGAAGACTTGACGGAGATATCCGTGGCTGATTTCCGATTTACTGAGCAGAGAAGCGGCGAATTAGCCTACAAATAAGAGGTAATAAAATGCTCCAGATCAAAATGTCACCCAGAACCCAGTCAAATTTGTATTAGTACCTCGAGATTTTCGTATTCTCCGGCATGGAGATGACCACTTCCACCACTGCCACTACCAGTACCACTTTTGTCGAATGCGTGGACAAAGGCGACCCGCGTGGCAGTGTGGGAGGGAGGTGTGTGCGCGAAGGTCTTGCTGCGTGCAAATCCGGTTGACTGTTGGGAGAGGTTGGTACTATTGTTGTTACTGTTGTTATTGAAATCGCTGCCATTGCAGCGCTCTGCTGACCCAAACACGCCCCCCAGAGTCTGTTGAGGTAAGCCGGCAATCATGTTGGAGAGATCGTCCTTTACTGGATTGCCACAATGATTCTGACGACGAAAGTTGTCTAAAAGGAAAGGCGAAACCTGCAGTTGCTGTCTTTACATAACAAACACTTCGAACGCATGTAAAATGTTTGCTTGCAATAGGCGTTTAGGACTCAAGGTCTTTTTCTTGTCCATAGCTAAATAACGTCGTCCAATCAAAGTTGATAATTGCTGGATTAAGTTGTGGATAAACTCATCCCAATCAGGAATAAGTCAATACGTCTGAAAGAGAAGTAAAGACGTGGGGAAGTTGAAGCATTGGTAACTGCAACTGCAAGGGCACAATAATTGCTACCAAACCTGGAGTAGCCGACTTGCACATCTCGTGTGTGTGTTGCGATCTTCCACCACCAAATCGCTTGGGCTGATGGTGAAACGAGTTTGATTTCGCCACCGCGTTCCAGCCCTGTTGGGAGCAGTTGGAGGAGGTCAAGAGGTCATTGTTATTGGTGCAGGAATCCTCATGATGATGGCGATGATAGCCCTGCTGCTCGTGATGCTGGTGATTCCGACTATGATGCTGGTGGCGACTGTTCGGGTAGTGATTCCGTCCACCGTCAGCCTCAGAAAGAACCCTAAATGTGGCGTTGGAGTCGTTGTCCGTAGTGCTGTGAACGCTTGTTTGCTGTGAAAGAGAAAGAGAAGGCTTTAAATGGGCAAAGAAGGCGTTGGTGGAGCTAGTGACTCAAGACCCACCATGTGGTTGGCGCCGCAGAGGCATCCGTGATGGCACTGGAAGGCGCAGGCATTGACGTAATCCGAGGACTCGGAAATTTGATGACCACGAACGTTGTGATGCGCACACCTTGATCCTTTACTGCCCCGGTGACCATAGTAATTACTAAAGTGTCATGGAGTCACTGTTGGGATCAACACATATTCGCACAACTTTGTTTTGAGAACAGTAAGTCACTAAAGTGATACGCATTCATTTCCATTTTTAGTCAAATCAAAAGCGAATTGCTGATCAGTGAAAAACCATTTAAACAGGGGGTCATGATCCCCCTAGAGCTATGGTTATTAATAGCTTGGCAAAGCCAAATATTCGCAGCTTGCAATTATGTTATTGTTGTTATTATATCTTATTGTATTGTGTTTTATTGTGGATATGGGCATCTGAATAGATGGAGGACGAGAGAGCTCTTGCTGGGATTTTAAGGCATCAGAACGAATGAACGTACTCATGAGAGGAGTTGGAAAGTCCATGCGATTCGGTGCGTCTCTGGGCGTTGGTGCGTTGTAGACGACATCCCTCTTCAAAGGCCTGCGGAGCTGTATCATTTGCAGTGGCCACAGTGGCAGTATAGCTGCCATTGGTGAAATCGTTAAAGCCAGTGGCAGCAGCAGTGGTGGTGTGAAGCTCTTGACTTGCCGCCAGGTTGGGTGTGCTCATGCTATTCGTATGGAGTGACTGTTGCAATAGCAGAGTCTGACGGTACTCTGCCAGCAGGCGATGCACCAAAGCTGTCTCCTAAAAGTGAAGAAGATATTAGTATGTTTTCAAATTCATAAAGGGATAATCTGTTGAAATTTCTAATGTTTTCTAATATGTAACCAGTTTTATGGGATTAAAGCTTCTATTCTTTCTCAACAATGAATAGTTATTTTCTTGATCTCCTTACAATTATGATAAACAACGAATCGGATTCAAAATAATGAGATAGGACTTTCACTAGGATATTTGAGGATTGCGAAGGAGGATTTCTAGGTCAATGATGGATGAGGTATTCGTAACATTGTTTAACCAACTGATCTTCCAGTGTTCAGTTAAGATTCCGCGGAAAGTAAGCGCGACTGAACCACGGTACGATCACGCTTCCGAGGAAAAATCTACACTTCTTGGTTAACAATTTATTAGTAAGCCAAGTTAAAACAAGTCTTTAAAGCGCTTAATTGCCAAAACCGAAACACACCCTCATCTTCGTCAAGTTCAGCAACTGGTGGATGTCGGAGTTGGTGAGTAGATGCAACGGTCCCCCACTGCCTGACAGCGAACGCTGCCGATGTTGTTGCGTTGCAGTCTGCTTCTGTATGGGGGTGACAACAGCTGCTGTCTTTCCTGTTGCCCTACTTCCGCCACACGCCGAATAGGACATTGTTGAGGACGAATCGTCCTCCTTATCACCCTGCATCATTATCAGCATCATCTCATCCTCTACAATGGACGACGCAGGACTAGAAGGTGAGGATGAGTTTGAATGCGTGGTTGCTGCTGCCGCCGCCACCGCAGCGACAACACCGGCTGAGGAAGTGGACGTGGACGTAGAGGAAGAGGTCATTGAGGATGATGTCATCACCTGTTGAACACTGCTGGTTGGTGGAGGCATCATTTCAGTCTCAAAGTAGACTTGTTGTGGTTGCTGTTGTTGTTGTTGCTGCTGCTGCTGCTGCTGGGCCTTTTGCCGCGAATCTACAAGATTGTTAGGATTGTTCAACTGGTTGATCCAAATTCCGGGATGTTGAACTAGACGCCAGGAGGCTTCTTCCTGACTGCTTGGAGGACTTGGAGGCTGGAGACGGATCTGTAAGCGCCCTTCAGCAGGAACCTCGTAAAGTGAGTGATGCAGCGGGTAGGAGGGTGATGAATTTGCCACAGTTGAAGGCGTAGATCCCGACGTAGTTGGACCCGCTGAAGCCCCCCGCTGAGGGGCGTTCGGATTAAAACCTAATGCTGTGTGTCGAGCTGGTGTTCCTCCGCTTCCGCCTGGTGGAAGCGGCGGTCTTGAAGGTCTCCTGCGACTCTCATCAAAACCTCCACCGCTATCCGCCGAAGCAGAATTTGCGTTTGTGGACGGAGGCTCTGGGCGAATGACCTGAGCGATTCCAACGGATTTAGGTCCTCGAGAAAGTAGCTAAAAAAGGTCGATTGAGCTCAATTAAAATCTCAGGTGAAAAGCAATAGTGATGAGATAAAAGTCCAACCTTCTCATACCTCAGGTATTGGCAAAGGCGGTGGTTTACTGACAGTTGAAGGGTTTGAGGATAAGGCTCGTCGGGTAAGGGATTCTGACAGAGCGCTAGTGAGACGTTTTGCCGAAGCAAGCCAACCGTGGCTCTCACCTGTAACAGACTTTCCCTCTCCGCCGCCAGCATTATTACCAAATTGCCTTGATGGTGAGTTCCGTCGGTTATCGCTAGGGACAACTGCCTCCTCGCGCCATTTCTGCTGCAGGCGATAGTGATGCTGGCTAAAACTAGAAAGGATTGGACGCAGCGAGACCGCCGCTCCAACACCCGCATGAGAACCGGTGAGCAGCCGACGAAATCCGTGCTGCTGATCTTGCGCGTCCACATCGTCGTCACCCCTACGCGAGGAGTTGCTCGAAGAACTGGTCTCTGCGCTAGTGGAACAAACATCCGACTCGAATTCCGACTCGCTGGAGGAGCCAGATGAAGATTCAGCCAGGCTCATGTTGTAGCGAGCGGCGACTTCCTGTGCACTTGTGGTGCTCTGTCCCACAGAAAGTGGAATTGGTTGAAGTCGGTGCTTTCTGTGGTGGTGATGATGCTTCTTCCTTGGTGGTGTGGGACCGGTAGACTGCATTTGAAGCGGTTGAATCTGACCCGTGGAGGAGCAGAGTTCAGTGGATTTTAGTACAGCACCGCGTCGGAGGCAGTTGGTAACGGGGAGGCAAGTGACACATCTATTAGCCAGCATCTGGGAGTCCAATGTGTCCACCAGAGTGCCACCCTCGCTATCCTCCTGCTGAGCATTGCAGGTCAGCGCGACCGAGAGCACAACCGGTTCGTGGGTCTTTGAGGCGTCGTGTTCGACCTCCGCAGAGCCACAGACAGGCAGCGAGGAGCTGATCAAATGATTAGCGTGTGATTGTTGAAGTGAAGTGAGGGAGTTTTCGCCAACCTGTCCAATTGTTGCGTGCATTGAGGCCACACTTCCAACTGTCGTTGTTGAATTGGAGTTGTTGACCACCACACCTGATGTTTCTGACCCGCCTAAATTTGGTGTTTTACCAACAGGTAGATGTTAATTAGTGCCACCTATAATAATTTTACCTTGTGATTCATACTTCATTTGATTGACGACAACCACCAGGTTTAATTAAAAGAGTGAAGATAATAAATGGTGCTACCTGCTATTATGGGTACTTGGAAACTCTTTTTGGATGTGTGGAATAATAATACCACATCAGGAACTTCAAGATCATTTAGAACAGTTGCACGCCTTTCCTAACCCCTACTGTTAACAAACTCCTTTACCGGACATCCAACTAAGTGGACTTACCTTTGCTGGAAAAGGTACGCGATGATGCGCCTCCAAAGTCACAAGGTGGCTAAATGTAAACAGAGGCAAGTAAGAACGGGGAAGTAGGACCACAACCGATCCTTTTGACAGCGGATGCAAAGAGGCAAAACGAAAAAATGAACCAAATGTCTAGTAAGTACCCATTGTAGCAGATGGATTTAGCAATAAACAGGCTCCTTCTTTGACACTTAGACCACCCGAAGCAGCTGTTCATGCGAGCAGGCAAACAGGCACTAGGGCACTCCTTTCCCCTTATGTCATGCAACTGATATTAACTTTTTGGCGTACAGAGGAGGTTGGTGTAGGCAGAGTACAGACATTTTTTCGCAGAAGATCTCTGAAAATAAGTATCGTTTTACAGTCAAGATGAAGCAGGGTACCTCTCCATCAGTTAACTTTTCAATCTACAGATTTTGAAAAGAGCTAACAAGCAACGTCCGAACACTGGCTTTCAAGGTTCACAGAAGTTAATCATCCGTACGATTAGTTATGACCTCCACGTTTGAATGAAGCCAACAGTTTGAATGCTCAAAAGGACTATTGCAAACAACAGATGGGGAGTAGGAGACTAGCCTCCCATCTGATGAAAGATTATGTTAAAGTTGATACCTACTAAACGCGGACAACTTACGGTGGCTCCGACACGTGGGCCGTTGGACCGGTTCTTGAAACAAAACGCAAGCAGATGAAAGGAAATTTCCATAAAAACAATAATCATAAGCTGAGAAGATCTGCATTCAGTTGTAATTGAAGTGTCCATAAAGAGTACAAAGACGTCGCACAATGCCCCAGTAGATTCATTTGAATCATGCCTGAAAATAGTGCCATCTACTTACTTAACGTGTGTCCAGTAGTGAATGTAACTGCTATGCATCTGAATGCAGAAATTCCAGAGATATCGCGCGTCCTGTGTATCTTCCTAATGAAGGATAAGAAAAACATTGATCATTGCCTCACCTTTAATCCTGCAGTTTGAAACAACACCTTAAAACAAGGGCAACATAAGAGGACACTTCATCGGCTTTTCGACACACACGCACGTACGCATATAATGTACAGGACTTACAAATACAAAGTGAATTGGTTTTGCCTTTTTTAGAAGTTGGATGGTAAACGTCTTCCTTGAGTAGGCCAAGTCTTTTATATCCTCCCATCTGAAGGTGAAACGCGAGGTTATTAAACATTCCCACATTAACAGTTTTTGAGATGGCACAAAGAACAATGCAAGAGAGGAAAGTGGGTATTACAAATCACGATTCGTTTAACTTCCTCCAATAGACTCGGAAGTAAACATATCAAAATCACCTCTTTGTCATTTAATCTAACCTCTACCTACACTTCAGTAGAAGTGTCGTCCACTTCCCAATAACGCCTTCTTCCAACGATCCGCATCCATGCGCAAGAGAGCCTAACTGCAGCAGAATAGTGGAAAAAAACATTTTTTCTCAGCCATTTTTGAGCATTACGACGTGGCTCCATAGCAAGGCCAGGTGGACACAAATCTACCCTCGGCAAGGGTCAAAATTGCCCAAAAATAGTCAGGAAGAAGTACTTTGAAGTAGCATCGCTAGTCTGGATCATGTTTCGCTTACCTTTCTGGTTATATTACTGGAATTCTCTAACATCTGGTACTTGTACAAAATCTTGATTCCTTGATGACCAATTATTTGAAATCTTTTGACCGTTGTAAGTGTATTCGCTGCAAACTAACCATTTGTGTCTATTTTATTGCTTGCTAGAGCTGGCATAATTTCTGTAACAACATGATGTATGCATAAGATTATGTGGTTTAGGAAATGCAATTAAGTTGCAACAGTTCAGGCGCACGATAGGAGCATATAACAGTAGCAAGGGGCAAAAAGTCAAATGGGAAACCGCGTTTATTCTCTCTGTTATCTTCGGCCAGGTGAGTGCTAGTGTCAGCGACATTTGCAAAAAGAGTGCGGCTAAGCAATTGCAAATACGGAATCTATGGCAGCAACGAGCACTGTTTGGCAATAGGGGAATGAAACTCTAGAGCACAGTAGCAGACATTTAAAAGAACGAAACGCTACAAAATCACTAATGATGATATGGTGACGGTCCGGGATTTACACTTCCCCTGAGGTCCGAGGAGGGGTGGGAACAGCCTAGCTACCATTGGTCACATGTAATGAATATTAGCTGCCTTTTATCATAGACGAAGATGTATTCAAAGCAAACTAATGCGTCTTGAAAAAGAGATGACTATTGTCTCCTTTTTAACAAGTGAAGACACAAAAAATGTCCACACACTACCACATCAGACGAGTTCAGTGTTTGGGAAATCGCTTGATCAAATTGCACACTTGCAGGATTGCACTCTTATTTCTTTCACCATAAAAGCACAATATGATGAATAGTAAACTTTTGGAGGAAGTCTCTGGAAAAGAGGGCGCGACAAGGATTACGAACAAAAAGTTATGGACAAGGTTGGATGTGCGGAATGCAGCTGTATGGCGACAAATTATTACTAAACGGGGGAAAGTGGGCCTCCCCATCACTGAAATGTTTTGATATTAATGGAAAGGAGAATGAAAATACCAAAGTACACTTGAGATAAAAATTCGATTTTCTCACCAAATGAATAAATTTCCTGTTTAGAAGCAAGCCGCTTGTAATTCACTTTAATTTAAAGGAATTGATGACTTCCGTAACAAGTTGACGGTTATCTCACTATATCGGGAAGGTAAGACACTAAATGTTTGGAAGATGGGAGGAGTAGATCACTTAACTAGCATAAAAACGAAAATCGGATCTACATGTTCACCGGAGCATATCCATATATCATCTCCTAGTTCAAAAGGAAACAGACAAATGGGGAGCGTTCGTCGAAAATGACTTCCAAGTTGCTTCCCTATTAGCTGGAATAAAATGTTTGTAGATTCGCCACACAAAACATCATAACATCTAGAGGGAATGGCTAGTGAATGCGAGTAGTGAACGACTTTGACATCTCCTTAAACACTAATGACAATTCTGTATCACTGTTCACAAAAAAAACACATTCGCATTTAACGCATGAACATGCTACTTTAACCAGCAAGACGTGCATTACTGTCTTTCCAGAACAAGAAACACCGTATTCCATAATTTCTAATGCATACTGGGGAGTTATCAACAAGGACTTCTTCGATTCCGCCTTTTACTTTGGCAAGATATCACGACTGTCTTGACACAAAACGGTTTTGGGCAGCATTATAGCGACCATTTTCAAGCCAAATAGTCACCAAAATGCACTCCTACCGTTAGTTTTTAATTTTCAAGATTGACAAACAGTTTGTCTTATGAGACCTAATGCTTGTTGGTCGAGTATCCACATAATTTGCCTCGACTTCTTTTGATTTCTTCGCATGAATCGTTGCCCCGACTTAGAGTAGTCCCTATTCGCTTTGTAAGTGGGTGTAATTATTTTGTTCACACTAGTTTACTTTAAAACCAAGGTGGTGTTATTTCACCGCGGCCACCGAGGGACAGGCACACACTCACAGGCATGTAAGGGAGAAGGTGTTTTTTGCCCACAACAGCTGATCAGCTGTTTCGACTTTTCACTGCACTTTTTACAGCTGCCACTTGAACAGGGCAACTGTGCCAGTTTTGTGAAGAGAGGCAGGACTTCCACTTCGGTCGATGGTCATGGAGACCAATGGGGGGGAGAGGGCAATTTGATTGGTTGGGTGCGCGAACCTGTAGTGCTACAGCTGCGTGAAATATGGAGAAAAAAGTAGCTCTGCACACCAGCCACTCTGGGAAGAGAGTTGTGAAGACGTTAACATAGTAATGTGGATAAAATAAAATATACCAACGGTAGCAAAAATGCCTCAAGCTAGACTATTTACCCGGTGGGATCGAAACAAGTGTCACGGTCACGTAAGGGGGTGTATATGAATAAGGGCTCACTTGTGCTTTGAAACTGAAGAATTGATGGGGCATATTGTTGAGATCGCCAGACCGTTGCGAGAAACGCCAAGTTGAGCTGCTTCGCCGGCGACTGTCTAAATGAATAATTGAGAAAACCTAAATTGTCAGGATGGTTGTAGACCCTAATGTTAAAAACTGGGTATTTATCCACTGCATTGGTGAGGTAACTTGCAGTGCGGAAGAATGCACCTCAGTGCTTTTGTAATACGTGGCAATAAATTAATTCACCCCAATTATCTATTCAGAAACCCACCATTTCCCATAGATCATCTGAATCCACTTCAAGGGAAGTATTTTGAGGGGCAGGATTAGCGAAATAAAATAAACAGTAAGACTGTTGCTGTTATCCTAATGTAAAATTATTCTCACCTACTTCAACCCAGCATATATAACATTTTCGCTATCTTCGGTAAATCGCCCAGTCAAACCTAAGGCTGTTGCAGCAACTCTCATTAGGTCAGTTCCCAATAGCTCGGTTTCGCTTCAGGTGGATAAAAAGCCGGCTACTCACAACACATTTAAGTGTTAACAATAAATCGCCTTTCTCCAATCATTATACTGTCATTTAGGAGCCCGTTTGGATAATCTGAGCAACGTTTTGCAGCTATTGCATGAAGGTGACAATTTTTGACAAAACGTTACATATTTGTTAGGGGTAGTAGGAAGGATTGGTTTAAAAATCTGATCAACTTTACTTAGGCTTTGCATTCAACCATCGGTCATTCAGTAGGTAATGGTTAAAGATTAAATTGAATAGAACCATCCACAATATTCTTAGTTCAACATGTGGCACACACGAACAATTAATACTCACTAAGACGATTTGATAGAGAATGTATTGCAGGGACATACCGAGCCAAAGAAGAGTTGGACACCATAGTTGGAGAGTCGTCGGATTTCATCGAGATAGTACCAGATAGCGTTGTCCTGAGTGACGCCACGTAGTTGGCAGTAGCCCCAAATAATATCGTCGATATGCTCAAGACCACCCAGCTCGACACTACCTCCCACTACAGACTAGTCAGCAAAATCAACATTAGAAGTCGTACACCTCAAATAAATTAATAAAAATCTGACCAACAATATGACCTATCTAATATTAAAAGGATCAAACTTCAGCGATTTTAAAAAGAAACGACCTAAATGTGTATTTTAACAACCAATAATCGTGTAGAACCTGATTATATATTTTCAAAGAGTATTATTCAATCAGCAAATTACAATCAATTTGTTACTCTCTCAGTGACGTCTAGTTGTAACGTCACAAGATTTTGAGATTCATAGGAGACTAAGATATAGGTTAATAATTATCACTGCCGTTGATTGAGTGTTGGGCTCCGTCGAAAATAACTAACATAAGGCTATAGACAGCATTGAATAAAACCACAAAAAACAAAGGTCCTAGGCAAAACCTAATGAAGTAATGATCCCTACGCTTCATTAAAAAATCATGCTAAGCTTAACACTTCAACGTTATGCCAGTTAGATAAATACGCAAATAACAATCCCAAAACAAAATTCAGTAGACATACAGCTGGGACCATCGGCCTTTCGCGCCACATGTGAGCTGTTGTTTCAAAATCAACAAAATCACCATATTCAGCTATAGGAAGAATAAAATATTAATACTATTAAACAACCTCATATCATATTTTCCACGCTTTGTTTATGAGAAACTCACCTTGAAGACTGTAAGCCATAAGCTTGATGGCCTGCTTAGAAGCGATTTTAAGCTGCTTGGTAAGAACATCTTGTCTTAATTGTAGGTAAAATTGACGTCTATATAGAGCAAAAAATTCTTTGCTATACCCAGTTCGAATAAAACATTTACACACATTTGTAGTAATTTAAATTACAAATCAACCAATATACAAAAATTACCCAAACCTATTAGTATTTTATCATATTTCTCACAAGGAGGAGAGAAAGCACACAGAACTAACAGTTCAAACCTCATTTAAATACACCTGCAACATTACTACTTTTTCTGGGCAAAAATACAAAAATCATGCAAAGTATAGTGAAATTGTGATCATGGCAAAATATTGGATAAAGCAAAAGGAATAGATCAAAGACGAAGGCAAAAACATATATAAAGAATAAATTACCGGAGGTTCGAGTCGGGAAGGTATTGCGGATTATCAATAAATAACATAATGTTTAAAACTAGCGCATGTTGCCGTGCGTATTTATCTAGCTGCTTCTTTATAGGCTTGTTGAGAAAAAGCCACCTTTGGTCATCAGTCCACGCCTCATACCGAAATCCAAAGAAGCAGGTCTAGTAAAGGGAATTAATTTGAGCTATAATTTTACATCTTCAATATCCAGTCTTTGAGCAACATATTCAAGAGCATCGCGTCCTGTTGTTGTAGGAGAAACTGTATATTCTACACAAGATGCATCCAATGTGTATATGGGAATGACAAAGAGGTCCTTTGCTGATACATTATACCTATGTGTTCGTTTGAAGTTTAGCTTAAGTGGCATTTTATACACAAAATGCCACCAACAGGAGTAATTGGACCATAAAGATGCGATGCCGCGGTTAAAACAAATCTCAAGGTTGTAAACCGGCTGTCCTCCTAAGATTAAATAGGCACACTTTGCATTTCAAAATATTAGAGTTTAAAGTACCTGCAGCAAATATGGGTGCTACACTCGTCATTCTGGATGAGGGTGATGACATGTTACGATTGCATCCTAAGTGGATTTAAGAGGTGCAGAATTAGTTTAAGTTGTTTTTAAAAAAAGAACTACTAGCACTGCTGACTAGCAACAAAGACCCTGGGTCTATGAACCTGGGTGTCAATTACGCCTTGTAAAAACAGATGTTTGATACCCTGAGCCTCCCTGTCCTCTCGGCAAGTTATGCTGGCGTTGAAGATCGATTTTCAACGTGCAAAAGGGCAGTGAGGCCAAATATGCGACGAGAAGGCTATACTTTCTAAACGAGAGCTGAATATTCTACAGAGTGAGAACACATGGCCAAGCAATTACCGAGCCACGACAAATATCCCGCCACAAAGTCCGTGACCACAACAGCCCGCCCCCACCCTTGACTTAGCTAAACATGACCCCCTACACTGGAAACCATTTGGACTTTACCCCTCTACACTTAAGTGGGTGAGCGCACAACCTGAGTTGAGCCTGCGTCCGCCATCATCGTGCCAAATCGAATGTTGTAATAACCTTACTGACATCCGGTGAGCCCCCACTCCACAAGTTAAAACTTGGATCAAACATTAAAATGAGTTAAGTTATAACATTACAGATATGCCGCACAACCTAAAGTGTATGTTAACGCCACAGTTGACTCATGAAAAGCATCACTCTTCATCCAATTCAAATATTGCACTGGCGGTCAATGTGACAGGACAAACAGTAGCGTGTGGATTAGAAGGATGTCCCCTGTTGAATACTTCGTTCAAATTCCATATTCCAGACCCATTGCCATCAGATTTTCCTACCTTTCCTGACTCCTGTTTGGGGAATGATGGCTTTTCCTGTTCGTTTTCACTTTTCAGACACGGTGCAGAAGCTATAGATACAAAAAAACGAAGTATAAAACGCTCAAGAAACAAAACCACAATGAGGGAATGAGCGAAATATTACCGCCACTGGCCCCATTTTCTACAGGGCTCTTATCTGAGTCGCGGCGTAGCCGAGCCTGTTCCTTGGCATACTCCCCCTTCTTTACTTTACGTTGTTGCTTTCGTTTGCCCTTTTGAGTATGCGGTGACAGCTCTTTCTCGCCCGCATCATGCTCACTCGTCGCTTGCATCTCATTTAGCGTTATGCTGGACGCGGTGAAGCTGTGCCGTTTTCGGCGTTCCGATCGACGCGCATTTTTCCTGCAAATTTAGGAATGGGATAACCATGTACCTCGCTGAAGTGATTTATGTTGCAAGGGTAAATTTAGCGGATGACCTGACGTTTGTCTATTAGTGCCAATCGATGGGCCTAGGCTCCTGCGTAAGTCAAGCATTCCACCCAGGCTTGTTTTTGTGTGGGATCTCAAACAATCGTTTTAATGCGTTACGATCCTACTCAGTTTAATAGGCCCAGTACCAGGACCTTAGGAAAAAATTAACGCAAAGCCCTGCAAAAGTTACGCTTTTTGAACTCTAGAAAAGTCAAATTCTTTCTAGACTACTAACAGGCTACATACATTTTATTGTTTTAAACTCAGTCAAACAGGTCATGGTACAATTTGTTGCAACCAATTATAGCAGTGATAAAGAACACGTGTCACATTTACGTGACGCTCTTGGTGATCTCCATTGAATGCAAGGTAGTACCAATACTCGGCCACACTACGCAATAAGGATACGAAAATGCGATAAAAGGAGGCTCAATTGCCTTAGAATTCCAATAAAGACACAAAATTGACTCACGCCTTATGACGAAGCAAATTGTGCAAAGTTTGGACGGGGTCAAAGGGAGAGAAAGCAACATTTTCGTCCTTCTTGGAGAAGTTCACCGAATTGCCCCGTCGTCGACCAAGGGTTAAGGGGCGAACAATTGCATCCTGGGGGACAGGAGCGGTGTCATGTTTCCTCGGCGTGGATGGAGGGAGGACCGGTTCATCCTCACTATTCAATGGAAACTCATCGGAGCACACAAACCGTGAAGGAAAGGCGGCCAGATTGCTACCGAAGGGCGTCTGTCCACAACCGTCCAGACTGCTCTCTGCAAGCCAACAAATAGATAACTTATTGCTGTAAACTAGGTCACCACTAATTATAACGTGTCCTATAAAGCGGGTTTCCAAATTTTACAACGTACCGTGTGTGCACAAATTTCCTGCAGTCTATCAAGGTCACCAACCGGGTAAGCAATAGGCAAGTGCCTCAAAGCGGATGCCCTTATAAACCGAAGCAATGAATGCGCAAGGGGTCCACGGTCAGTGTGTACATGCTTGTAGGCTATAGAGCAGACTGCTTGGGCCTGAGCCAGCGTCTAGATGATTTCAGCTACGCGTACTTAGAGTAGCTAATTAACCCTGACCTACGGGGAGTTATCAGTACAGTTAGGGTACAACACTGCTGGATAAGAGTCAACATGGAAGGACTGAGCGAGAGCACGACTGTCCAAGATGTTCGGGGAATAGTAAACGCTTAGAACTTCTAGGAAATCGAACAGGAACGTATTTCTGGGGTTGCAGGCATCCCCAGCACTTACCACGAAACTGAGAGGCACTACTATCGTTACAAATGATAGATGTAAGCAACGCCTCCGTTTGTCTACAATCGTGTTGTGATAGTATACAGTAACACCTATTCAAACTGAAAAGAGTTTTTACTGCCCAGTTCACATGGGAATCTTCTGCTAGGACCAAAACATCCCCCAACACAAGAAGTATACCGATTGCGTTTCAGTCAAAACAGATGGGTTCAGTAGAAATAGCATTAAGATACATCAAGACTTGAAAATACTTCAAGCAGCTATCCACTACCCTTTTTTGAAACAAGATTAGACGGTTGCTAGAGCTGTCAGAAGTCTGCAAAGAATGAAGACCGCAGTCATAAGTATGGGAGGACATTCGTCTTTCCAC